ACAAACACAACACAACAAATAGTCACGCCCCTTCACGCGTGAGTTTGAGTACTTGTTCCGCCGGACCTGCCGGCCTCAAACAAGCTCTCTGCACCGCCAGGCACAAAACCTCCGTAAACATTTATCAACCGGTTTAACGTGCTCAGGATCACACTACACATTTGTCGTCCGTCACCCAACGCATGTAGCGTCCACCGTGGGCCAACTGCCCAGTTATTCCTGGGAGTGCCAGCGGTGGACTGCGTGCAAACGGCGTTAAAACCTTATTAGTGATTGGACACGGCAAAACCTGCTTGCATGACACACGCTGCAACCGCGGAACCCTGCATAACGCTATGTGAAGGCTACGTTTCTTACTGCGTAACGGGCGCCCCAGCCGGAGCGCAGTTCGCCGCACAATAGACACGTCTCGTCAGCTCTTCATTCCGGCATAACGGAGAACACCGCTCAGAAGGTGACATACACCGCTCAGAAGGTGACGAACATCGGCCACCGCCTCCCGAGAGCGTCTCCAGTGTCGAATGATACGAGCAGAGGGCGTGGAACCCCGAGGGGAATCAAGTGTCGGATGGCATTGCCTTAGTACTGAAATCGAAAATAAACTTAAGTTTCAAGTCCGTGCACGCAAGAAATCTGAGGAAGAAATGCGGTGAACGTTCCGCTCACAATAGCAACTATCTCAGGCCCCAATTTGTGGGGTGCTTGAACTTGAATGCTTTTTGCTACCCTTTCCATCCTTGCTCAAATCGTAACGTCACTCGCCGTCAGGGCGCACCAGATGAGTAACCGGCTGAAAAGCACCAATCTATCACCCCTGCTACGCCGCCAGCTAAGCTGGTGGTGGCAGCCAAGACGTCTGGCACCAACACGGTGCCTGGCTATTCACGCATCGCTAAATGGCTGCAGGGAGGTGCCGCGGCCCGAGGCGTCCGCCAGTCCAGCAGCGCCGGCCGCCGGCGGCCCGGCAGCCGTGTGCTCACCAGAGGCCGCTCGCACGGCAGCGGTGACCGCCGGCCTGTTGGGCAAGCGGCACGTTCCCACCGGCCTGGGAGCGGCGTCGACCGGGAGCCTTGACACGCGAGTCGGCACCGCAGCGGCACAGACCCGCCCTCACTCCGCTCACAGTCAGACACGCCGAGACACGCCGAGACAGCGGCACCGCAGCGGCACAGACCCGCCCTCCCTCCGCTCACAGTCAGACACGTCGAGACACGCCGAGACAGCGGCACCGCAGCGGCACAGACCCGCACTCCCCTCGGTCACAGTCAGACACGCCGAGACAGCGGCGCCGCAGCGGCACAGACCCCCCCCCCCCCTCCCTTCGCTCACAGTCAGACACGCCAAGACAGCGATGCCGAGACAGCGGCACCGCAGCGGCACAGACCCGCCCTCCCTTCGGTCACAGTCAGACACGCCGAGACAGCGGCGCCGCAGCGGCACAGACCCCCCCCCCCTCCCTTCGCTCACAGTCAGACACGCCGAGACAGCGGCACCGCGGCGGCACAGACCCGCCCTCCCTTCGCTCACAGTCAGACACGCCGAGACGGCGGCACCGCAGCCACACAGACCCGCCCTCCCTCCGCTCACAGTCAGACACGTCGAGACAGCGGCGCCGCAGCGGCACAGACCCGCCCTCCCTCCGCTTACAGTCAGACACGCCGAGACAGCGGCACCGCAGCGGCACAGACCCGCCCTCCCTTCGCTCACAGTCAGACGCGCCGAGACAGCGGCACCGACCCGCCCTCCCTTCGCTCACAGTCAGACACGCCGAGACAGCGGCACCAGGCCGCTCGCAGACACGTGGAGACCGCCCCCGCTGCTCACAGACACGGTGAGACTGCGCCGCCGGCGGCAGACTCCCCCTCCTCCCAGCCAGTCCTCTGACTGATTTGACTCATTGACGGCCCAGCGTGGAACCTGCATCCGGCGGTCGGCCCATCCAGCTCTCAGCTAACGCTGAACTGTCGGCGCTCCACCCCACCCGAGCCCACGCGCGCGGACGCCACGGAGGCAGACAGCGCGTCGCCCAGCCGGCGAGGCGGGTGGACACGGGACACTGACGAACCCGTCCAGAGTCGGCGTGCGTCCACGGCCTGGCGCAGCACGGCTCGCTGCACGTCGGCCGGCCTCGGCCGGTGAACGCCATCGCCCACGTCACCGTGCCGGTGACGCCGGCGCGCCATTTTTAAAGCGCGCCGCCGCCGCCGGCAGTGCGCGCGGCGGTGACAAGGCCAGCCGACGGCCACAGGCCCGCCGCCGGCTGGCCCATTAACCGGCCCCGCGGGCCCGGGCCCGGGCGCGCGGCGGGCGGCATCGTTCCCACCGCGGCCACCGCCGCCGTACGCAGGCGCCGCTCCGCGTACACCGCGCACAAAGGAGGCGTGAGGCGCCCGCTGGCAGCAGCGGCGGAGGACGAGAGCACCGACCCCGCGCCGGTAACGTCTGCGTCGTGCGGCACGCGCGCGCGCGCACGGGCCGTCGCCAGGACGCGCCGACGCCGGCCCCAGTCGGCGGTGGCGGCGACAGGCTCGGTCTGGGGCCGCATTCACGGCGGCGTACGCCAAGGAACGCGCCGCTCCGTTTAAATGGGCCAGTGGCCAGGACGCGATCCTGACGACTGGTCGGAGCACGGACGCTCCAATCCAATGCGGCCTGTGTGGGAGATACAGGCTGATGAAGAGACCGGGACAAACAGCGAACGGAACGAGACGGCGCAAGAGGACGGGGAGAGTCAACGGGACAGCCCAACTTGCACAGGTCTCTAGCGTGCTCTGCTCACCAGGCTGGCGGGGGGGGGGGGGGGGGGGAGGAGGCGATGACAGAGGGCGGGGCCGTGACGTGACATCATCAGCGAATGGCACCTGTCATTACGGCCCATTACCGCCGTCCACTCGTCAGCGTTCGCGGTCGGCCCGGCCCGGTCAAGGGCCACCGGCTGTGGTTGGACGGCCACAGAGCAACGCTAGCTCGCGCCAGACAGCCATATAACAGCCACCGACCACCGACCGACCAGCCAGACAGCCATAGAGCGGACGTCTCCAGGTTCCACAAAAATTGTGCAATGCCAAAGCCCTGAAGCCTGACAAACGTCTCACGAGGCGCAAGACCACAATGAATTGGGCACTGATAGGGACGGAGCACGCGGTCGGGACTGGGCGTCATATTCAGCAGCTAATTGAAGCCGGCCGCCGCCGCCGCCGCCGTGTAGGGGCGCAGCACCTCGCCAGCCACGTGATGCCAAAATCAATGACGGCGCACCCAACAGGGGGAGAACGAGACGGCACTAATGAAAAGGTGCGGCGACACCGATAATCGATACGCCATGCAGGGAGACGGCAGCCAGAGCGGCCCCCCGACCGCCCGGCAGCGGCAGGCTGTCGTCACGCCAGCACGAGCGGGAAACATCCAGCACATGCATTTCGGCGGAGGCCTAAGGAAAACAGCCGCCGCGGTGGTGAAAGGACAGGATCTACGGAACAATGACACGGCGGTGACATCAGCCGATGAACTGCGCGCCTTCGCTGCGCGGCTGTGTGCAGCGGTGCGCGGCGGCGGCCGGCGTACACGGGGCGGCCCGTGCCGTGCCGTGGACTATCACCTGCTGACAGCCGCGTGACGGACCAGCGCTGCCGGTTCTCATCGGCTGGTCGGTCGGCGGCTGCGGTATCTCGCCGACCAGTTCCGCAGACCTGGCCCGGCGCCGTATCCGCCCGGACGCCGCGCCGCCGCCGTCCAGACGGCCGGCCCACTTCGTGCCGCGGATGCAGGCAGCGACGAGGAGCCGAGTAACGGTGCCGGGCGGCGGGCGCTCGGGCGGCGGGGCGCTCGGGCGGCGGGCGGCGGGCGGCGGGCGCGTGGCTCGCAACCTGCAGAGCCCCACCCCAGCCGGGACCGCCACGCGGCGGGACACAGCGCCGCGCGCTGGCAGTTTTTACCGGCCGGCCGGCCCGCCCGGCAAATCTAATTAGGGACGCGTTTTGATGCGGTCGGTCGGCGGCGGCGGCGGCGGCATCGTCCGCCGGCCACACAGGCACCGGCGACGCGCACGATAAACCTGTTATCGCAGCTGCCGGCACGACCGGCCGGCCGGAGGTAAACAGAACGCCGGCGCGACCACCAGCGGCGACAAGGCATGGACGCCGCCGGCTCCACTGCCGCCGTCCTCATGCCGGAGAGGAGTCATCTCAGCCAGGGTCCAGCGGAAGACCGCAGACACGTCCGCCAGCGGCGCGGCGCCGGCAGCACGTCCGGCACGCCAGTACCTGGAACATCCTGCCGGCAATCCCGGCCTGCCGGACCGGCCGCTCAGGCGCCGCGGCTTACCCGGCCGCCGGCCGGCGCGGCACGGCGCTGCGGCGGCCGACGCCGAATTTGGTCACGCCGGTCACAACAAAGACGGCGGGGGCGTTGCCGCCGACGGCGCGGCCGCGCCGGCGCGCTCCGTGACTGACAGGCGACCCCGGGCCGCAGGAGGGGCGCCGCTCTCCTGATGTCCGTCTGCTCCGTCTGGCTCGCGTCCACACCCCGCGGAGCGCGCAGGTGGACGGGCCGCGCCCCGCACCGGCCGCCGCCGCCCCGCCGCCGCCGCCGCCTCCCCGCCGCCGCCTAGCCAGCTATCCGCCGCCGGCGTCAGCACGCCGCCGGCTCTGGCACACGCGCGCTATCGGCGGCATCGTCTGCCGCGCTCAGCGGCCGCTGTCTGGGCCGATCGCGTGCGCGGCCCACTCGACCGTCGTCAATCCGTGCGGGCGACGGCGCCGCGGCGGCCGACCCCAGCGCCGGGCGCGCTGCACAGCCAGGCTTTCACCGGGCGGCGCCGTTCGGGGCACGTGCAGCGCCGGGTCGGCGAGGCGAACGGCGCGGCCAAAGAACGCCCGGCCGGCTGGCGCGGTCATAAATCGCGCCGTCAGCCGACCCTCGAGTCGTCGCCGCGCCGCGCCGCGGTCCGTCGTCTGCTGGGCTTGGCGCGGGCGGGTGACGCGTTCGGCGCCGGTACTCACGTCAGCGTCTTGTACTGCTCCAGCACGGCTTCCTCCATCTCCTCCGTCTGCTCCGGCACGAAGCGGAACTCGGAGATGGTGGCCGCCGAGTGCTCATCGGGATCGTAGTCGCCCAGCTCGGCTGAAATCGGGCGGCGGTTAGGGTGGTGGCGCGGTCAGATCGGGGTCACGGCGGTGGGCAAAGCGATGGTCAGGGCGGCGGACGGGGAGGCCGTCAGGGCAGAGAGCTAAGGACCCGACCTTTGCAGCCATCCACACCAATAATTGTCCCTCTTGAGCCAGTGCGGCTGTCTGAACTAACACCCTCGTCACTTTGGCTTGGTATGACTGCACAGGTCGGTTCCGGGACAACCGGTCAGCGCTGGCCCACGGCGCCACGCGCCGTCGGGGGCCCCTGACGCGTCACGCGGTCACGGCCTCACCATGGTCACACCGGTCCACCAGGAGTGGAGGTCAGGCGGGGGTCAGGGCGTCCGGTGAAGAGGAGTCCGTCCCCATCGCGCCCCGTTACCGGGCGGCGCTGGCAGCTTTACAGCCCGATGCTGTCCCTTATGATCAGACGAAAAAATAGGACCGATTGCCCTGCACCCGACCGGCCTACGTACAGGGGTCGCTTTGGAAGTAATACAAAGCCCTGGACTGAACACAATCTGAAAATAGCCAAGTGCCGCGTTTCAGGTTTGACTACTACAGCGTTACAATTTTCGGAAATGCTGTGGACCGGCGTTTAATTACCGCCAATTCAGTGCCTGATTACAACAAAAATACCATTCAAACTATAATTACTTTACTCCGAATAGGTCGCTGAACTGGCTATCAAAATCCTTATGTAGCAATTGTCCGCAATTTTCGTCGGCCCGACTGGCTGGCTGCCGGCGGCGAGGCGCCGGCGGGCCATAACGCAGCGTCCCTGACACCCAGCCGTCCATCCGGTTGGCTGCAGGACGTGCCGGAACGGGGTCAGCCATGCGCCCCTCCCCACCGCACCCAACCGGGTCAGAGACGGGCCATGGCAGCTCTCGCCGTCCCCATACCGCGGCAGTCAGGCGGCACACCCTCCGCCCTCCGCTCTGGCGCCAGCCGAGCGACGCCTCCTCTGCTGCAGCCGTACACGGCCCGCCGCCATTCAAACCCCGTCGCAGCCCTCTCCATCCGTACCACACTCCCCTGGACACTGCAGTCACGGTGGAGTTCTCATGGGTCGTTCCCTGTTCATCGTCCCCCGGCGCGCCCCAGACACGCGGCAGAGTACCCCAACATGAAACCATGGCCGTTTAGTGGCCCTAGACACCAGAATGTGTTCAGACCGAAAACCTGTGTAACGATTTTTTGCGATCTTATCGGTCCCAAAATACCAAGATGCAGTGTGAGCTTCGCAGACCGTTTTGTCCGACAGACAGGAATCAATTTCGTTGATTCCGCCTCAGATATGGCGGGCACGGATGTTGGAATGTTCCTACATCAACGTTCGCAGAAATTAAGCACAATCTGAATTACGGAGGTGAAATTTTATTGTTACGTAAATGTGGAGAGCATGCAATTTCAATGCTGCCAAGCGGAGTTGCGCAGTCAGCAATCGTGAGAACCTTAAAAGGAAGAACGATTGTCTAATGGCATCAGTCTCCAAACGGCGCCATTTCGCATGCCAGTGGGGCAGTGACGAGTGAGTACGCCTCCATGGCGCTTGTCAAAGCCCAGGCCTGCTATTTTAGGCTTTCGCAAAGGACAGGCACGGAATTGGCAGGGCGCGTAGCTGCATTTTAGCGGGGTGCTGCAAGATGTATTTAGTTGCAGTATGCATACGAAAGCGTTGAACAGTGCGTGTGGTGGCAACAGGTTTAGACTCCCCAAAACTAGCGTAGGGGTGTGTGATACAGCACTTGCACAACTACCAAACCGGTCCTGGCAAGCGGCGCAAAAGCAAAGAGCGCCTGTAATATGTCGTGTTCAATGATCATTAATAGAACTTCCCATTCCGTCTAAAAGCAAAGCGATGCCATTGCAGATGTCCCCAGCACACATGTTTCGTATGGTAATGAGCCTCACAAAAAAAACATTTTAATTACGCTTATAGACGGTCGAAGCATATCCCCTTCATTCATTTGAGCTCTCTTTTGCCCAAAGTTTATTCTCTTTGCGCTGCAATTCTTTCGTACACATTTCGCTCCAGCACGGACGCTGCAAGGGGTGGGTAAAACACAGTAGTGTGTCAACTGTGGTGACATGACAGTTCACAGTGCTGAGGTCTAGGACAAAACGCACCGGTGACAATATTTCCGATGGTCAGAATCCATCCAGTCAGATCAGGATTTCTACTGGTCCCCCCCTCCCCCGAAATCAAGGCGAGAACACGTTTCTGGTAGGCCAATCCTTGTAATGCCGTCCTTGACGGGCCACGTGTTACACCGGCGCTGTATCCGCGTTATTTCCCCAGTTCCCAGCCCATAACCCCACGTTCAGCACATTCGGCTCACGCGGGCGAGGTGTGGATATACCCAAAATGCTTCCTCACACGTCAGCGACCATGAGAAAAGTCCATCGAACCCGATGGAGGCGGCCCTCCCTGCCTCCAGTCCCCCACCTCTCCGCCCCGGTGGTGTTTGTTGCGTGATGGGGACGCCGACCACAGGGCCCGGGCTCCGTCGATAATATGACGGGACGACATACGAAGGTCTCATGTCGGGGTCCCACGGGAAGACACAGCGGACACCGTCGGGGGACGATGCCACTGGGGCCGCCGCTGGGCTCACTGGCTGCGAACGCCTACTGCCGCTGACGTCTCACGCCACAGCCAACGCACGCGAGCCACACGCCGAGCGATGCTGGATCGAGCCCGTCCCATCGACCCCAATCATATGCATCAGGGTCATGACGAAAGAGGCACCAAACAGATCGAGGACTCCGGATCGGAGGGTTGCGTTATGTCAGGCCGGTCTAGGTAAGATAATCAAAGCACCAATCCCGCCGTTATCCAGCATGAATAATGCGAGGCGACCGGCCTTCTGGCGCCATAAGCAGGCAGTGTGCTGGCCAGTCGGGCCCCTGTCGGCACTCACACTGCACGCATAGGGCGGCCAGCTGCACAGCCGTCTCCTGCGGGCACTCCAGCTGGCCCGACAGCAGGTCCTGCTTCAGCTGCAGGAAGAACAGGTACCTGCAACGGACGGCGCCCGGTTACTGGGGGCGGTGGCAGCCTTCGGAGGCGCAGCCCGGCGACAGCGGCCGCCCGGTCCCCGACCCTAACGCCGCCGCGCCGCCGCGCCGCCGCGCCGCCGCGCCGCCGCCGCGCCGGCTGCGTACATCACGCCGCCGCGGGCCCGGCCGCTTGACATTTCGACCCCGGCCGGCGGCGGGCGGACGGCGGGCCGGCGCAGGCGCGGCCTACGCGCTCGGCGGGCGAGCGGCACGCGCGCCGCCCGGCTCAGCGCCGAGCGGCGCGCCGCCGCTGCAGACAGGGCGGTGCCGTGTGAAGGCGGGCATCGAGCAGCCGTCCGTCTGGCGGGGACGACACCGGTTTTGCCAGTCTGCCGGCCGCACCGGGCGGCGCAGGGCCCGGTGACGGCCACGTCGCCTTTGTGCCGGTTGGGCGCGACGGCAGCGGGCGCCGGGCACGCCACGGTAAGCGCGCGCGCGGGCCGCACGGCGCGGAGGCGCGCCGGCCGGCCTGCGCGCGGGCGGCGCGGCTCCGGTCGACCTGGCCCGTCGCGGCCGCGTCACCGTTACCGAGCGCGCCGCGGCCGCCCTCACTCGCCAATTACAGGAATTAGCCGGGGTCCGGGGCTGACGGCCCGCCTGTCGCCAGACTGGAGCGGCCACCACAGCTGGAGCTGGCGGGCGCGCGGGGCGCGTGCAGGGACCTCAGGGTGCACGGCATGCGAGGATGGCACGCTGGGCCAAACGCTTCAGGTCATCGGCAGGACATTACATCGACAGTGCCACAAAGGAAGGCAGGTCATCTCCATGAAGAGCGAGCTGTTCTGGAGGGAGCTGTTCTTACAGGCGCGAACCAATGACAGGAACGTGAATTTATGGGCACTCGTGACTGGAGGACCCATCTGAGCCCACTGCATGGGGCAGTAGGCTCCCTAGATCCCGTACGTCCTATAAAGATCAAAGCCGGAGTATCCCCCGGTTTACGGTTTTCTGGAGAGCCAGCGAATGGGCGGCAGTGGAGCTTCGGGACATCGGACAGCGTGACTCGCAGGAAAAGGTGACGGCTACATCGCTTTTGTCAGTTGGTTCCACAGCCCAACCACGACAAACACAGGTTCGCATGTTTGGAAACTTGAAATGCACGCTTGGCAACACTTCACAGAATACACAAAACAGTCACATAAATTCGGGAAGAAGCTTTGAACAAGAACGGCGCCTGATTTTCAGGCTAAGATGTTTGAGAACCTTCAACTAATGCCATGGCAGGATTGCACGCAAGACTAATGACTGCCAGTATTCGACGGTATCATTCGCCATTTCTGGCTGTTTCGCCTAGATCGCACATATCGTTGCAAGAAGCAATAAATGTCTGGGCGTTTTATAAGCTAGTGGGCTCCGTCCCACCCCGAACAATAACAGGACGCCGAGGAAAACCTGCGCCAATGTCTGGCACAGTGTGACGTGGTAGTATCCACGCTCGAACGCAACAAAATATTCGACACGGACGGTCACGAACAACTGCGGCGATGCAATGACGCAAGGCACGCAACACGGCGTGCCAATCACGCTGTAAAAAGATCAGCACGCACCTGCAGGCACTATGCTCAGGGCATAATAAGTGGCATTACGCGCGCAACGACTATATATCACTCAGCCACAAGGGACGTCTCGAAGCAAGCCCGACAAACGAGTGAGTGAAGCAGCTCGCGGCACCAAAAACGCACACACAGCTTGGCATGGGGCCTAGCCCCACGAGCGAGACGAGAAGCACCGACAGTGGCCAATGAACTGACGCCGTGTGGCGATCAACCTACAGCACCATGCCGGGTTTGCGGGCCGCGACCTGGCGGTGCGGGCGGGCGGGCCTCTCACCGAACTGGCGGTGCGGGCGGGCGGGCCTCTCACGACCTGGGGCGGTTGCGGGCGGGCTTCTCACCGACCTGGCGGTGCGGGCGGGCGGGCTCTCACGACCTGGGGCGGTGCAGGCGGGCCCTCTCACCGGACCTAGCGGGTGTCGGCGGGCCTCTCACCTGGTCAGCTCCTCCCGCAGGTTGTTGGGCTCGGACGAGTAGAACTTGATCCGCAGCCGCAGCGTGAACGGCGGCCCGACTGAAACACGGCGCCCGTCAGCTAGCCCCCGTCACCGGACTCCGTCCGCCCTGGCGGCGGGAGGGGGCAGCCCCCCTCCCCTGTACACACGGCAGGGAGGGACGGGGACAAGCCGTTGACACGGCACAGGCAATGCGGGTCCACTGCCTTGCCTTGACCGGTATGCTGGTATTGGTAGGGAAGTATGCGGCAAAGAACAAACGGAAACACGCCGTAGAATGATGACAACCGGATATGGTTTAAAATTTTGCGACACTCGCCAACCATAGCACCGTGATCCTGGGCACCAGCGTCCACAAGAAATAGTCCCACGATTATTTCGTCGCAAACCACTTGCCACTGTAAGAACAGAGAAACCAGGCAGTCAACCATGCAGACGAACGAGCCGTTTGGCCACCTCTGAACAAACAGGCTGACGAAAATGCTGGCAGCGCGGTGTCGCCAACCCGAGAACGGAGTGACGGACGGCCATCTGTACCCGTCCAGGGCCCGAGGGAGGGACAGCTGAACAGATGAGCAGACGGCGACCGGGGCCGCCGCCGTGGTGACAGGGCGCCGCTGCCGCTCAGCGCGGCGCGCAGCCGGCCAGTAGCGCGCGCCAGCTGACCATAACTACAGGCGTCTGGTGCCGCGGAGCCCGGCGACCTTCGCTCGCGGCACGTGCGCTGTAGCTGGCAGCACACGGGCCGTGCACCAGCCGGACAAACCGGACCAAGGTAAGGAGACAGGCAGACCTCTTCACGTACCCGACAGACGGTTATACCAACACCCGCGGTACGAGCGTGAGACAATAACACGTGCTTAGTTTGAAAACTGCTGCACCGTGCATTTAAGCACACGATTACACTTACTTTTGACTTGTTTCCGGACTTGTTTCGTCGGGTCCAACCAGTGCTGCAAGGGGAAAATGGCCGTAAGCTTCGTGCGCGCTAAATGCGAGTAGCTAACTTTAACCATAAGACATTCCGAGCGCGCAGCGTGCTAGACTGGTCATAATACACGTTGGTAGGGACACCCACTAATACCACCAGAAGCCATTCCTGGGTGCATCATCTGGCATGAAGAACAGTCCTATCGACAGTACCCCGCATGCATACAACATCCAACCAATGCGACAGATGTACCGAGATGGTAGATATTACGGCTTGTATCCATATAAAAATGGACGGAAATGATGACTATCACATTCACGACACGTAAAATAGGTGATGACAACACAAACTGGAGCACCCCGTGCTGCCAAATTACTAGCAGGAACGAAGGCATGGCGATAGTCCTGAGTTCGAATTAGAGCGGTTTCCGGGATTGCTGTTCCCATCGCCTCGACTAAACACCGATGGGATCAATAAACGAGTGTGCCGGCGCATTCCCACGGGAAAATGCGTGACAACAAACCCTCCATTAATGTCACGCAAGGGAACGAAATCCCTATTATAAAGCACAATCAGATGCGAAGGACTCGCATGTGGTCTTCGTGATGTCGATGGGCTTCAAACACGCTAGCCCACTCTTAAATACACGAGAGCAATATCATAACAATCATCGCTTTAACAACTGGAGAATGAAATGGCGATGCCTGGCTTCCTTTTTATATACAATAAGACCACCTGTATACATTTCGACAAAAACCGGCACAGAGGGTCCGATCTAGAGCGGAGTCCAATAAGCGCCGACCGATCATCCATGGCGGAGGCGACGCGCCAGGCCGGCCGCCGCTGAGCCCAAGAGCAGCTCGTGCCGGCCCGACGCCGGGCGGAGGGCGGCCGCAGCTGTGGCGCGCCGCGGCACGTGACGGGCGCCGCGGCTGGCCGTCACGGAGTCGGCGCACGCGCCAACCGCAGCACGCTTGGCCGAGGGTCCGAGGCACGGCCGGGTCGGCACCGGCCGGCCCGGCCCGGCAGGGTCGTCCGCCGCTGAGACTGCAGTCAGGCGTCGCAGCGGTTGAACGTGTGTGGCCCACCGCGTGCGCCAGCGGGTCCGCCCGCCGCCACTCCACCGCCTCTACGGACGCCGTTGGTCGCGCCTGGCTCCCAGACTGCCGAAGTACGTGCAGGAAATGTGGCGAAGAAAGGTCGCAGCGTTGTAAAAAGGCATCTTAAACGGTTGCCGAGCTCGGGTCAATAAAGATGAACACCTGACGGGTGGGATCGGGAGAACTAGCTGACCATGCACGAGGGCGAAGCTGGCAACCAATCAAAGCACAGAGATTCCGCACCAGATTTGCCAGAAGCTGACTGAGCATGTGGTTTGTGGGCTCCAGCCAGCCTCAGCGGATTGAGAGCCGCGCGGACAGTAAGGAAGCCACATCGTTCTCAGCCCAGAGCGCGCGCCAGGAGCAACGCCCTGTGGTCCAGCGTGGCGGGCTGGGCGCACGCACACAGAACTGGTTGGCGGTAAGATTTGTGTGTGTGTGGGGGGGGGGGGGGGGAGGCTATCGTTCCTTGGGGGCGCGGAAGCGATATGTGCATGGCATCTGTTCAGTTCTAAATTGGCAACCAGGGTTTCTGACATTAGACTCGCTTTTTTCTGACGTTTAGGGACCTCAATCCAGGAGCGTAAAGTGGGCAGTTATTGCTATAATCCGAGAGGGGAGACAAGCACAGTTCGTCCATTGCTAATGTCGGATGTCTACAAGTTTGTCATCTTGAAGACAAATCATTCAGTTACGAAGATTTGATTTGATTATACAATGTCGCTTCACGTTAGCAAAGCGCACATAAGCGTCACTCAGTTCTCCAAGATTAAAACCATCAGGATGCTGAATTTCGTCAACGGTGTTACATATTTCGCCAGTACAGAACATACCTGGATGCCATATTTTTTATTTGAACGAACTTTGTGCAGTGTTGCAGGCATAGCTTATTCCGAATAACCTGGGGAAGCTATCCCACTCGAGGAGCTCTACATCCACCAAGAGCTTGCACCCACGCTTTTATTGAAAGATTAACATGTCACGCACGACAGCTGCGTGGCCGTCCTCGTTTCGGACAGCTCTCTTGGCCGTTTGCCAGCTGGCCGCCCATGGTCGGCCACGTGAGCGTGGCTTCGGGGCGTGATGCCGCACCAAGTCGCACATTCAACAGCGTCCGAAACTCCAACTATTGAGCTACAGGACCGGCGGCATGATCGTGCTGTTAGAGGCCGTCCCACGCTGGCCACTTTTTGCTGCGTTGCGATGCGATGCGATGCGATGCGATGCGATGCGATGCGATGCGATGCGACGCGACGCGACGTCATGCAATGTTAAGCGGAACTGAAGAGTAACGTAACTGTCAAAATCATGCGCACATTGACATAAACAAACCACCCGCGACAAACCTCATCGAGTCAAGATGTCCTCAAAGTTTTCATCTGTCAAGAAGCGGAGTTCCGTTCGTCTGATACATAGATGGCAGCGTGGGGCGCTTCACAGAATGCTACTGGTTGCGGCGTTATGATACTGTTCAGTTCTGTCCCGCCTTGTATCTCATCACAAAGCTGCGCAACGAAAAGTGGCCCGTGTGGGGCGGCCTTGGCGCTCGTCGGGTCCAGGCTTACCAGTATACGACATGTGTTGTATATCGATAGGTCAGTGATCCCTTCCGGTATGACTGGCTATTCGCGTGTGTATCAATGTTTGCCTGATTGTAAGAGATGCACAGGGCAGGCCAGGGCACGCCGCATTACTGGAGCCAGCCCAGACCGCAATCGTGGCCTGCCCGCGCAGAAAGGTTCAATTCATCTATTAAAACATCGCTTTGTTCCTTCCCTCGACTGGTAAGCCGCGACCCTAAAAAACAAAACAATGGAAGTCCAGACAACATGTATCAGTAAGATGAAGGATGTTACAGGCATGCCGCTACCTAGGTGGACTGTCAACGACCGGCGCAGCAGCCTCCTGTGAGCCGAGTGAATGACAAGAGGACTCACCGGCTCATTCACATCCTACTTTTGGTCAATACACCCATTCTCTAGGACCTTCCAATCGCAAGTATACATTTCGACCACAAATACCGCAACCTATTCTCCCGCAATGCCGAGGTAAATCGCACGAACAGTGCCAACCGCCTTGCGACAAAAGTGCATCTCAGCTTTCGCCACACAAAGGTGTCTGAACTCAGCGTACACTGAAGCGGAGATGAACACAATTACATGAGAAATCACGAACTTTGTCCAAGAAAGAAACAAGTCGCCACAAATTATACCCGCAATCGTCACACTAAATGGCATAACGGGCTGTCGCATTTCGTGAGGTCGTTTTCAGTTTGCTGGTCGTTTACATATGGGTCTGTGAAAACATACCGGCCGCGTCGAATACCAAACGGGAAATTTAGCGGCGCACGTCGGGCATGGGACGGTGGGCTGAAAGTTCCCTGTCCCACCATTTGCATCCGAAAGACATCCGCCTATCAGCTGGAACGCTGAAACTACGTCCAACTGGCCAACCGCAAATAGCTGAAGGTAATCACACTCACTGGTAAGGGCACAAAGCATGCAACCAGTGCACGTCTCGTGGTCCCAAAATTATTTCAGGACCATTTTAGGCTTGTGAGTCAGGGCAATCAGCATCGAATCGCAGCATCGGTGACATTGGCTTACATGAACAAAGCTCCACCTCAACTGACCATATTTACCGGACATGGGATATTCCAGGCGGGACTTTTGAACCTTCAAGGGAACGTCAGACTACCTTCTCCAAAATCCTGCGAATTTAGATCAAATGCTTGCGAAATCGCCAAGCGTCTGATGCAAAAATCATGGTTCAGGGGGGGGGGGGGGAGGCCTATCACCCCCCCCCCACGCTCCATCCCTGACCTACCATCATATGGTTTATTTTCGCTTCCAGCCATAGATCCCAAAGTTTACCTAGCGTCCCTACACCAACCTTCAACTAGTATGACGCCGATCACCGCCAGACATCTGTAAGTAGGCAGCCTGAATACCCGGCAGGATGAGCGGAAGTGGTTGTTTTGATATTACTCATCACCGCCGTCTGTGTACCGCCCACGGCTTAGAGGCATCCGCTTTCGGCAGGCAAGGCCGTCGCCGCCGCCGACCCACCTGCACGTGATTGTGGTCGGTGAACTGCAGGCCGAAGTAATCCTTCTCGATGAGGTCCAGCGAGTAGAACACCTGGTCACAGAGGCCGGCGCCCAGCTCCTTTTTCTGTGGCGCAGAAGGCGGCCAGCGTCATCAGTCGGCGCGGACTGGTCAGATGCCCCAGCCTTTTCCAGGATTGTCAGGTGGGAGCAGTGCCGAGCCCGTGGCAATGCCACTGGACTGCCCAGCACACAGGGTGGTGGTGGTGAAGGTGGCAGAACCCACTAGACTGCAACTGCTCAGCTGATACACCACCAAAGTGAAGTCAGAGGGGGCAGCCTGGTGAATGCAGGATGGGTTGTCAATGTCATAGGGGTTTAGCAATGCTTTCAGCTGCTAATGATTTATGACATCCACTGACTGTTCTGCTGGCAGGAGCTGTGAATTGCATCACGAGCGAGCTACATTTAACCTGCAAAATCTGAATGGTTTAGCAGGCATAATGGTCAAAGCCAGGAACAGCATTTCATCCCTCAAGGTCCAGACTATCTGTGTGTATTTACAGGCTATGGACCAATAGTTCCCCTCTCCTTGCACAAGGCACTTTGTCATGCAGAATCCACAAAGACTGGTAAACAGATCATACCAAATTTTGAAAAGGTGACTTTGTGGCAATATTGCCACTCTATTATCAGAGTGCAGTGGACTCCAGCATTTTGCTGATGTCCCTGGATGACCTGCAGACTGATCTTATCATGTATTGCCCTTGTGTGTAATATTCTACAATATTGCTTCTGCATGTTAAGCCTGAAATTATGTGAAAAGGCTGCATTTAATAAAATAACATCAAGCTTCAAGACCAGAAAAAGACCACTGCACAAGACAAAGAACATGATATCAACAAATTTTTAGTAGCTATGAACAATTCGGGCGTTCTATTTTTGCTAAGTAGCTGAGAGTTGGACGGCACCCAAGTCTACAAAGTCCATGCGTAATGATTATAAAATTACATGCTTAAGGTAATATAGCAAAAAAGATAACACAGTAGGATTAGATAATACAACTTAAGATTTCAAATGTCACTTTTAAAATGAACCTCAGCAAAAAAGCCAGACACTTGAACACTGGGCTAATATAACAGAGCTCTCATACTGGCCTTATGTGGTATGCCACATCAAGAAGAGGCCAGTCTGGGAGCCAACAAATGGGCTGTTTCTTCCAGATGTGAAAATCCCTTCACATAATCTGCCAACATTGCTACATGCCACAAAAAAAATCTGGCTGAGTGCACATATGAGCCTGATTTAACTTCAGCTAATTAGGGAAACTCTGATAAGATACCAGGCCTGTTTCCATACAGGCTTTGGTTCATGCAACCAGATGTAAATGAAACAGGTGACATCAACCACTGGCCTGGACCCACTACCTACTATGCCAAACTGAAGCTACCTCAAACACCTGGGTCGTGCACCTGACATCTGTCAGATGACTAGCTAGGCACAAGATCAGCAGGTGCATCACCAGACAGCCACTGATGCTAATTCAGCTGGTAAAAAACTTGAATGAAGTACTGACACCTGCCAACTTCATCTCTACAAGATGTGAATCTCTGTTTATGGCTACATCATCGATAAACCATATACTTACTGGCAGTTCAACAGATATGTCCGTCCCATCCAAAAGCAGGACCTTGCAGGGGAGCACATGCTTGTTGTATTTCGCAGCATTCTGGTCATTTAGACCATTGGCATCCAGGCGCTGAGCTGCGCGACCCTTATGTCGCTTACTGAAGAACTTCAGCATGGTATTTTCGAGATACCGCTCAAGCTAAAATATCACATATTAACAGCTAAAATCACCAGCACTCCGGCTCTCGCTGCGCGTCCCCCGTCCGCGGCGGGCTCATCAGCACTAGACATGCGCGAGGCCACTTCGCCGAGGTTGCTCCACACTGAAAAAGCGCCAGCTTCGGCCGCTTCTGTTCAATGTTTATACTGAAGAAACACAACAGCAACGCCGCACCAGATCGTTTCACCTCTATGGCAGCACAAGCGGATCCCCAGCCACAGCGGCGGCATTCCTCGGTCAACTGTTGCACAGGTGCCTCGAATCGAATGGCGTCAACCACAGCCGGGCCTCGAAATGGGAAGCGGTGCTCCAATGTCAAAGCAGGGTTACTGCAGCTAAATTCGGATGGCGCCTCGTTGGTGGCTGGATTGAGTCTTGATCTTTTTCGTTTTTTGTTGGTAAAAATTCCTATTTTAGTAAAAATTCAAGATTTTATATTAAGATAAGGGAATTTTTAATTGATAGCCAGCAAAAAAACTGCCTGGTTTCCTGCACCTGCTGATCAACAGCGAGACATTTAGTAAACCCATTCTCCATGGATGGAAAAGTACTTACCTGATGTCATAACGCATTGCGCCTATGTGGGTCCGCGACTTCATCGCACATGAGAAAATTGTCTGCAAAACACACGGCTGTTGTCACAGTACTTGTGCCGTCAACATATTAAAGGTCGCAGGTTGGGAAATATTGTTTGGTGAGGCAGATATATACAGGTCGTGTTGGGTGCTGGGATGCACGGAGGAGAGGGACGACAAAACCAACCTTATTTACCCTCCTGACCTTGAGTCCAGTTAAATCTGGATTTCTACTGCTTCTTTTCGCTGTTGGGTGACAGAAATTTGGTCCACAACACTGATAGCCCAATAACTTCGCTTACATTTTGTGTTGCCCGTCAGCGGCCGTTCAAAAACTAAATACCTGTCGTGCGCATTCACTTGCACACTTCTCACGAGATAAGAAGCAGAAAGTGTCTTAAATGTTGGTTAAATCTTATTGCCCAAAATTATCTTCAGGGCATCATTAGGAAAAACTGGTAGCGAAAAGCAGCCAAAACAGCGCAAATAGTGACCTGCCATGAGTTAGCGAACTGAATTTACATAACCTCCAATCAGTGCCGAAACTGGTGTACTAGAGACGAAATAGAAGTACTTTTACCAAAAATTGAATCTTGTGGGCAAATGAGAAGTTGAGGGAAGAGAGCGGTTGGGCTGCGTTAGGGTAGTTTCACGTCGGTATTATGCGGCAATCCGTCTTTTATTCTTTTTGTTGTTGAATTGTTCTTTAGTTTATGGGGTCTTAGCGCAGTCAACGACATGGAACTAACAATAATTGATTAAGGAAACATTTTAATTAAGCGGAAACAGCGTGGTAAGAGGACATCCGCAATACTATGTAAAACCACGACAGAACTTGGTCCTGAAAGCTTTGTTCAGCAACAGTGTGATAGATTGGTGCAGCTTTGAATAAACAACAATGAAAGGGAAATTATGCTATTTGATAAAGTTGTTTTAGCCCACCCAGCGCTTTCTTAGGGTGTAGACAAGCTAAACACTTGGGCAAAATGTTCCTCAAGGAGGGTTTGCCATCCTGATGCTGTTTTGCTTAACATCTTGTGCAGAGTTTTGCCTCAGGGAGGGGCCATAACCTCAGTGTCACCTTTGTTGGCTATTCCCACGGAACTGGTAGGCACTTTTTAGAAAGATGAATAGCGTCTAAATATTTAAAGCATTCTAGGGATGAAATTCAGCCTGAAATTTCTCAAAATTTCATCATCAGTGAATTGGCCAATGGTAATTAGGTAGGTTTACTCATGTTGTATGTTTGAGAATCATGTGCTTATACTGGGCAGGAATAGATCAACCTAGGGGGGGGGGGGGGATGAGAGGCTGTGGTTTATTTTCACACTTGCTTCTTATCTCATTTTGTCTTGAGTGATGATTGATGTGCATTCACTTTATAGCAACTAGGCAGGATATTATTATGACTACACAGTTACTAGATGAAAATTTTCAATGGTTCAATTTCATTTGTCTGCAATCTCTAGCACTGGCTGTACACTGCATGTGCCATTTTAACTCTGCAGAATGTTTGACTGCAGGCACCCCACATCCTTGCTTCTCCACCCATGGTGCATCAAAAGCATCTGCACATAACTGGCACTGATCAGTCTGCATAGCTACATAGTGTGATGAATGTAATGATTTGGCAGTTGATGAAAATTCATACTTTTCTGACATCATGAGCCCAAATACATGTGCTCTCACACTGCTATCATTCTGTAAACAGACAGTAAACACATGGCCTTTACTGTGTACTTGACATCACCCTCCCTGGTGCCTGTAAAAGATGTTGACAGATTATATCTCTGTCACAAACTGTAAGCTTCCTGTGAACAGCAACCTACACTGCATCTTATGCATCTCAGCTTATACATGCCAGGTTAATCTGATTGATAAGGGAAACTTGTTTTCACCTCAGGGTTCAAACATGTTGCTGCACCATTTTGCCAGGTTCCAAATGTGCTGTGGTCTTTGAATTATTTCAGTCCAAACTGTAACTGGATGGTGTTAGGCAATATCTCACCTCAGGCCCTATATTTCTGACTATAGCCTGACATGCTCCAACTCTCTGACTGTTAAACTGTGAGCCACATTTCAGCTGCCATCCCTCATCTGCCAGGTAGGCGTAGCCAGCGCCAGAGAGATGGCGTCTCGGATGCTGCCGCTGCTGGGCCGCGCAGCGCATCGTCCCGCCTGGCCGTGCACGCGTGGCTACCAGGCGACCGCGCTGCCCGATCATGCGGACACCGTTATCTGCGGCGGCGGCATCCTGGGCACCTCGATCCTGTACCACCTGAGCGAGCTGGGCCTCGCGCCAGACACCGTGCTGCTCGACCTGGGACAGTGAGTGTGGGCGGCACCAGCGGGGGCAGCCGTCCCTGCCAAAGGGGACAGGTCCCAGCGCTGTAGTCTGGTTGACAGCAGTGCTGCGACGGCTGTACGACAGTGCGTGGTTCGGCGCCTCTTCACCTGTTCTGCTTTAAACTCTGGTGTTGCAAAAGAAGTATGTACAGCACTGATGATGTTCTATTGAAAGGAAGCAATCAATAGTGTTTCTTAGGAGCTTTTAGAGTTAATCATGCTGCGAGCATTTATGCATAATATGACTGTTGAGCTACATATGTTGGTCTGGCAGTTCTTCCCTACCATGTTTGCCAGAGGTGGTCCACAAGTGGTATACCATTTTCATGACTGAAACATGAGGATACATGCTGTCCCTGACGAATAGCAGCCTAGGCCCGTGGCCGGCCGGTCACCAGCCGTCTGTGACGGTCGGCGGGACCGCAGGCTGGGTGGCGGCATCACCAGTCTGGCGGCCGGTATCGTGTCCATGAACCAGCTGCACCGCGCCCAGTGCAAGCTGGTGCGCAAGAGCCAGGTGCTGTACCGCCAGCTGACGGCGGCCGGCCACGACATCGGCTTAGAGGAGTGCGGCGGTCTGCACCTGGCGCGCAGCTGGGAGCGCCTGCAGCAGTACCACCGGCTCACCGCCCTCTCCGAGTGAGTGGCCTCGGCCGATGCCGGTCAGTGCTCGGCCCGTGCGCCCAGTGGAGAATGCCCGGGTTCCGGGGGAGTGATTGCTGTCAGGGTCGATTGAATGGGCGGGTAGCGATTTCAGTAGGGAGGGGTACGCGTGGCAGTTATCGGTGAGTTGGACATTGGACAATGTGCTATGAACATTGTGACAAGTTCACGATTTAGGTGCTATCCGGCAATGGCCGAGTCGTTGGTCCCTTATGTGTTGGACCTTACATCTGTTTATAGGTTGTTGAACAAGGGACCTCTTGACGGGGAAATTAAGCGGCTTAGCTTTACCAGGGTCCCCACCCATCACTCGCCAAACCCAGTCCGATAAATGGTGTGCGAAAATGGCACAATGATCCGCGCTCGTCTGCGTCCCATCCCTCTTCGCCCGCGTGTGCTGGGGATCGGACCCCGGCTAGCGACTCACGCTGCCGCCCAGGTCTCTGAGCACCGAGTTCTGCATGCTGACCCCGGACGAGGTGAAGGGCCGCTGCCCGCTGTTGCACACGGCTGACCTGAAGGGCGGCCTCTGGATCCCGTCCGACGTGGCCGCCAGCCCGCTCAAGCTCACGCAGACGCTGGCCCGGCTGGCGCAGCAGAAAGGTGAGTGGTGGGCCGGCGCTTGGTGGCACGGGGCGGCGCCAGCGGCCAACAGAGCTGCTGCCGCCGGGCTGACGCCGGTGCAGCAGGTCACGCTGGTGGGACCGAGCGGCCCGGCCGAACTGTTCCTCAGATGGGGTCGGGTAGGACGGGGGTGGGGAGATGCGTGGGGACACTGGTTCTGGACAGTTCTGCATCGATCAGTACACTGTGAGTTCAGAACCAGCCATAATGGTAGAAAAAGGTCGGGTGTTCATTGGCTCACCTTCGACATGCCTGTACAAATCTGGTGACGGATGTTGACTAGCGGTCTCGGTGCGTCCACAGATGCAGAGCAGGTGAGGGTGCAGCAAGTGCTCAGTAAGGAGCAACGGTCCTGGAACGGGTGAGGGTGCAGCGGGTGCTCAGTGACGGTCCTTGGTACACCCACAGGCGCCACGGTCCTGGAGCGGGTGAGGGTGCAGCGGGTGCTCACTGACGGCCGCCGGGTGACCGGGGTGGAAACGGACGTCGGCACCATTCACTGCAACCGCTTCGTCAACGTGGCCGGCTACTGGTCGCACGACCTGGGCAAGCTCAGCTCTCCCATGGTCAAGGTGGGCTGCGCAGTTGTCCATCAGCGCACCTGCCCACGCGCGGCGTTGCGGGATGGCACCGTCTGGCACGTCGCTGCACTGCGGCAGCGGAGGGCGACGAAGCTATGCCGAAAGCTGTCTTATTGGAGATTCTCGTAGAAGGAAACCTAGTTCAGTAGCTGTTCTGGTCTCTCCAGTGTCGTTTGGAGGTGTAGGTCACCCGGCGTTCCACTTTGATCTCGCCTTTGATGGGCGCTTCCGCCACTGCTGCTGAACCCCAGTGTCATGGCCCGTGAATGTGCCGGGCCCCGTCCGCCGCTCCAACTCGTCCTCGCTCCAGCAACCCAGCTGTGTCTGGCTGTCTGAGCCCAGTGTGTGGAGCCGTCTCGCCGGCTGACGGCGCGGCCCCGTCCGCCACTCCAGCTCGTCCTCGCCCCAGCAGCCTGGCCGTGTCGGGCCCTCTTAGCCCAGTGTGTGGAGCCGTCTCTCCGGCTGACGGCGCGGCCTCGTCCGCCGCTCCAGCTCATCCCCGCCCAGCAACCCGGCCTCGTCGGGCTGGCCGGCTGACGGCCCGACCTCGTCTCCCGATCAGGTACCGGTGCATCCGTGCGAGCACTACTTCCTGGTGACGCGGCCGGTGGCAGCGCTGCCCGGGTGCGTGCCCTCTGTGGTCGACCCAGACGGCCGCATCTACGTGCGCGCCAAGGAGGGCTGCCTGGTGGCTGGTGGCTTCGAAGAAAACGCCAAACCCGCCTTCGGAGACATGGAGCACTTGCCAGGTGAGGAAGACCGGGCGCGGGCAGAGGGGTGGGCGTGACGGACCGAGTGGCCCAGGCCTTGCAAGCACCCCTGGGGGCTGTGGCCGCCCCGTGCCCCACCGATGGATGGTGATTATCGGCTTCACCCCGTCCATGCAATGCGCAGAAGCGTCTCAGCCCCAGGCAGAACATGCATTGACTAGGGAGGCTAGGGGGCGTTCATATTGCCCAAGGTACAAAATGTCCAAAGGCACAGCATGTTCAAAGTTCGTAATGTCCAAGGTACACAATGTCTAAGATGGGAAATAGCTTCCGAAATGGCCCAGAGCGGAAGGGGCCCGTGCAGCGTTGCTCCGCCCAGCGTCGGCCGCGCGCGTACGGTCGACGCCAGTGCGAACACTACAAGCATGTGGTCGGTGGGTCGCATAGCAACGGATTCATTTCCTACGCCCATATAGAGATGGTGTCGAATGCTGTTGGTCGGCGAGGCCGCGCTCGACTTGCAAGTGATCGTTCAATACGAGACGAGTACCGTGGAGTGGGGCCTTGGGCACGCGCGGAGCTGCTGTGAAAGCATTGCAGCGTTGCCCTTAGCCGGCGTGGAACTTGTTCTGTGTCTGACCGGGGGCGTGTTCGCTGTTTGGTGATAGCTATATGCAACTAGAACCTCTTGTTGCAACTGTCGTTTATTCTAAGTGATCGCTGTCACGTTTTCACCACAATTGGCCTGCAGCGTACAACGGAGTAAACCTTGCAAGGGAGGGGAATGTATGGGTATCAATAATAATGCTTCCTATCGGATTAATAGCCTGTTTCTGATCAGTTGTCACGGGAATCTAGGTCAAACGTGTAACATATTACAAAGCACGCTACATTACAAATCATAGCATATGGTTCAATGAATAGTCATTTGTGGACAAGATACTCCACATGCTACCATTTAGAACAATTAGATGGCGCAACAAGAGATTGGTGGAGGTTTTTCATTGATGTGGATTCCCTACATCAATTTATTGGGTCTGGCAGGAGCGGCGCCAGGAGATATAAGGTGAGGAAAGGCTTTTCCAGGGGGCTTCCTGAGCAACATGGGGTCTCCTTTCGGAGGGGGGGGGGGGAGGGGAAGCTTCCAGCCCTGGTCCTTTTTAAGCGGGCACTGAGGCATGTGACATGTGAGTCCTCATTGAACTGGACCATGCATTAATGTCCATGTAAATCATTGTCGACAACAAAAATCTAGAATAGAGGGTGCGTAAATGGTAAACTGTGTTAAAGTCTAGTTTCAGTGCGTAAATGTGACGCCGGTCAAGTCGCGAACTAGTAACCCTGACTGGGGGGGGGGGGGGGGGGGACGCATAGAAATACATCCAAGTTGTCAAAACATGGCTGTTGACCTCTACGTCTACGGCTGTTCATTCACTCCCCCGAGCCGGTAACTCATAAAGCAGCGAAGCAGTTTCGCTGCTGACGAGGCAGCAACGGTGAGATTGTCTCCCGAGCTGGGAAAGACGAGGGGCAGAAAAACTATGTTCGGAACGCCTAATGCCCGGAAGATCTATACGTGGAATACCCACATCCGGATTGCCCACGCTCAGGAGACTTCGGAAGAACCTTCTACTCCCCCAAGTGCTTCTAAAAGGAAATGGGACAAATAGCGAATGTGGAGCGCGGAGGGCGAATAACGGGGGGACTCAAACCTACCCGCACCGTCACAGTGGGCTGGGCAGCACGGACTAACTCATTGAGCTACGGCGGCGTTTCTGCTTCTAAAAGACCCACCAGTCCGAGAGGAGGCACTAGTTAACAAGTCGTGAGATCCCGCCAGGCTGAGAGGTGGCTGTGCTTAGTTTCATATATCTAGAAAGTTAGTTTGTACAGTGGGCGAAGTCTGAGGACAACTTCGGTTTTTTAGATATGCTCGCCCTACAAGGGAGTCAGGGACACTGCCTCTATTCATAAAAGAAAAAGGCAGCGCTTACACGCGTGGCGACCGTTATTGTTTACAACAGTACTGTAACACATACGCGCGCACGTGTACACACACACATGCACGCACGCACGCACGCACGCACGCACGCATTACGAAGTCTTTGCTTAAAACACAGGTACGTCAGTACACCGGGAGACACTTGGTTACGCCAAGATTCTACGCCAATATTTTACAAAATATTGTGATAATTCAACAGTCCCAGATAGTACACGTGGCTGCCTATGAATAAGTTAACGCAAAACGCACAACTCAAAAGGCCTGGGAATGATCGCAACTGTTACAAATCTGTGCAGATCCTGACAAGAAAAAAGATTAAAATAATCAAGTATGCAAACTTCCATATCCTAATGTTAGGCACACTCAAATATGATAAGGCTTGCACGAGACATCGATGGCAATCAGTGTCCAAATAAATCAGCAGACAACTATTGCTGAACGATACCTGAGCAACAGCGCTAACAATCAATATTTCACGATGGTGCTTGCGAATTTATCCTCTGTCAAAGTTTACCGACACGCAGCGATTCTTATATCCTTGGTTCGCGTTGTCTTATGCCGTTGCTGGAATGTGCACTTAAAAAGTGTAGGTATGTTTTAATGTGTGCCATTGGTGCATGTATGTCGACTACTTCCTCCCCTAATTGTGAGTACGCTCTACGTAAACATGCGTCCTCAGGTGTTCATTAAACAGGCCTGAGTGCCATGCATTGTTCTTCTCACATACAGTTTCACTGGAAAAAGATTACAAGGCATTATGTGTACGTCCTGTGTGCACAGAACCTTACACCATATATTGTGTATTCTGCTCTATTCTGTGCATTTTACTTTTGGTCCATTGAGACCATTTGGTCCAGTGGACCATGGCCCGCCACTCTTCAAGGTGGGGGGGCTAGCAATGTTAACTGCCCCCTCCACTTTCCAGATTAAGGTTACATTTGGCGTACTTTTGCACTGCATTTAACAGGTATGCCGATTTACCTAGTTCACCAGACATCGTCCTTAAGATGTTTCACCTTTTTCGTTTACTCATTGGCCATCGCTTAGTGTTACAGCTGCAAGGCCGACGCCGCACGGCCTGGAGACTGCAACGTCGGGCGTCGAGGCTGTTGGCTGTTGTTGCTGTGACTTGGGGGCGCGCATGTTCAAGGCCATATTACGTAGTTTTCTTATCAGTAATCAGTTATGACAGAATCGTGAGCATATCAAGACGAACATGGGTTAGCCATGTTAATACAAATTAGGAAGCCCATTTCACCCATAATCTACCGCCAGGAAGAACTCAATATCTCTGAAGAACACAGAAAAACGCGGAACTAGAGTCTATGTGACAATTATTGGACTGTCTGCGGTGATCAGGGATGTTGTTGCGTCAATGAGGGTTCTTATGCTGATCCGGGGCCAACTGCGCTGGTCAGAAAGCCTCCCGTGCTATGGATTGGAACAATGTGATATGATGTATCCTTCTAATGCCTCCGAATCGACCAGGAGATCCCGGCCCGTGTCGCCGGGATGATAGCCAGAAGACACTTCGCGATGGGACGGAATGGCCCTTCAGCCCTTGATCGGAAATGGTAATGCGACTCTGATGTTCTACTCAAGAGGCTCCTTACCCGGAAGGAAATAAGGAGTCTCATTATTGTTGAGTAGAGTGGGGTCTCATTATTGTTGAATATGATGGGTGGAAACAAGCTTAGAAAGCGAACAAGTTCATGCCATGTTTGCCTGAGAACGTTTATTTTTCAGAATGAACTAGTGAAGCAAATTTCATCAAAAGCTTGAACATACCCGTCCGCAACCTCGAGAGCAAGGACAGGGAGGTCTGGGTTGCAGCTTCCGTAAAACTGAAAAGTTTCGGCCAATGCAAGTGCAACCAGACGGCGGGCGCCGTGTTAATCTGTATTCTGGATAGATAAATACTTGCAAAAACACGAAAAATAGAGATCCCACCTTCACTCTTCCAGTTCAACCACCAGATTCCAGTCCAATTTCACGGTGCCTTAAGGGCCAATCCGTCCTTTTCATCAGTCAAAAAATTGCACACGTGAAATATGCGTTATAAACTGCGTTCTTAATGTAAGATCTGATGTCATGAAGCGTTCAAGAATATTTGTTTCAGGAGCGTCGTCATTTTCGTACACCCGTTGGCCACGGCGTAGTATCAGCTGCTAGGCCGACGCTGCGCAGCCTACGGAGACTGCAACGCCTGGAGTCGAGGCTTGTGCTTTCAAGATGTTAGGGTGTGGATGCTCAAAATTACGTCACATAACTTGTATTGAAAGTCAATTACAGTATTTAAACAAAATAATTTCGGAAGCGTCATCATTTTCGTCCACCGGTGGGCCACAGCTAAAAGTTAGCTACTGGGCTGAGGCTCCGCTGATAATGGAGACCGCAACGTCTGGTGTCGAAGTTTTTGTTGCTATGATTTGAGAGTGCGCATGTTAAAAAAAGCACGTTACACAAATTGTATCACTAATATATTCTAACTGGATGGTGAACATTTTCAGATAAACATGGCTTGGCCATGTTAATACACATTGTTGACCACTCGATCTGCAATCAAATTTTCATCCTCAAATTTGGATCAGACACATCGATCTGCAATCTACCTTCGCGATGTCCTCAATGTCGGTAAAACCCAGATGCAAATTCTGACAAGGCTTCTGAATTCTATCGGCTTAGAAAGAGTCAACTAAACCGTTGTAAATCAAAAGCGCCGGTGATTTATTCCATGCAGTCATTCAACGCCTGATTTCTGCAGTTTATTGACCTCAAAATACAAACAAAATTGAGCTCACGATAGGTACTGGTTTCTGTTCGGATTACAAGATAAAAATAACAACGAAACGAAGAAAACCGTTTTCCTTTTAACCAGCAAGCTATATCCGGAGATTTGGGGGGGGGGACCACTATAAGATGGGCTTTTGCCAACCCTGTGTTCCCTCTTGGCAAGGCTCTGTCTACGCCCCTGCCTACACACCAGAGCGGATCAAGTCGCGCACGTTGCATGACAAGTGTCCGTTGGGCCAATCCATACCTAACGCAGACAGTTTCCCGGATGCTATTTTTCTGCAATGGTGTGGTATAAGGGAAGAGAATTAAGAAAAAAATACTGTTGCAGGTGTCCAACAGATGTTTCATACACCATGTAGTAGTAACGCTGATCCAAAAGTATGCAACAAGGTAGCCATACGATCAGCTCGTAGTCAGTCATGCGGGAGGCACCCGGGCCAGGGCAGTGACCACCGACGGCGGACAGGAGCGGGGCCCAGACAAGGAACATTTGATAGATGGACCTTATTATGTGGCTTGGTTCTTAAAAGGACTGTGAGCCATCGATCCACTTTCAAAATTCTCACCAGCCTTTGTCCAGGCCGTATTTTGACATTGACACTGTGGGGGCAAATGCCTCAATGACCCAAAATGCCTATACGCTCGTGCGATTTCGCTTCCCCAGGATGGACGGTGTTAAAATGGACGAATAATCGTGGGAAGCTGGATAGCCCTATTTGCCAGATGACAGATGAGTCGAAAAGGCAAGATTGTGCACCTGTGAGAAACAGTTCTAGATGCATATCTAGCATAGCAGATATGACACTTGAATAAAGAGCGATAACAACCTCCACCCCTACCCTCTTCCTGCCGGTCATCGGGCTCGCTTTCCAGACAAAAAGTTTCTGAAGTACACCCTGAGCTTGGCGCCCCACCTTTTGAAACGTTCTTACGCCTTTGATTGAGGCATATATGACAAGTTTGATGAGGTTTTTATGACAGTCCTTTTTCTATCGATTTCGGCAAAGAAGCCTGGCATGAGCTAGTTCCGTGAACCAAAACGCGCAAGTGTGATCATGGTTTTATATGGCATATAACTGGAAGAAAAGATGAATCCAGACATAACGTAGATAATAAGGTCTAGCAGGATGGTGGTTCAGATTCTGTCACTACACGTGAAAACACTAAAGGTGACAAATAATGCAACAACTTGTAGGAATACTCCGTTAACAGAATGAATAGGGCCGGTATAGCGAGCATAATCGAGGACAACTTGATAGCATATCATTCTTCGGTATGACACCAGCTGAGTGCTTCCTGATTGTTTCCAAGAACCATATCACAGATTTGACGATAGCCCGGTGCTCTTCGCAAACTCAGTGCACAACTTGAACGTATAGCTATAGGTAATAGCCGTGCATCACCCCTAGCTCTAGTATTTGTTTTCATCTGTCTTTCGAAATCAGGCTTAAATCAAGGTTGTACACCAGATATATTGCCGAAATTTGTTACATCGGAGCTTAGGAGACTGACTGTCTAGATTTATTTGCTAGAATCAGATACGCTACCCCAGTATGTCTGTCATACCGGCACAGAGCGCTCAGTAAAGTTGATTGCTTCCTCGACACCTTATTTGTAGTACCGCTAGATGGGACCTAAACCACAGCAATACGCTTCGCGCCCATGGTGCCCCGACAATACTACATTTCGGGTCAGCACGCCCATGACTAAACAACAAGCAGCCATGAAATCTCAAATATTAAGAGCGTTGCGCGTTTCTCCGGGCCTTCAGTGGTGTGACCATAGTGTGTTTGAAATTGAATGAAATGGGAAGCGCTCCTCGTTTTCCATGATAATATATACCCGTAAAAACGAGTGTCCGGTGCCGCTTGTATTGCGCCTCCTCGATGTAATTCCTCTTCACGTCCAAAAAAGAAGCCGTAAAAAGGTGAAGCAAACGCATTCTGCATATGTGGAGCACGTCTCTATAGACGACGTAATATGAGAACAGGGATATACCGCGCTACCACTGCACAGCGGACTGATTGCAAACGGGGGCGGATCCAGTATTTCGTGAAGGGGGGGGGGCACGCAGCATGTGGTGCGTCCTAGAGTTTGGGGCCCCTCAAAAAATTATGCCATTACACTTTCAGATAAAAAGTACATGTACATGGCATCCCTAGCTTTTTAGCCAAAGTAGCGCTAGCTCATGGCCTTAATTTTTTACAGTTTTTTTTAGCCCTTGTTGTCTAAGGGCTGCGCAGTGTAACATTGGTTCCAATACGTATATTTTTATATGCATATATGTGCATGTATATACATGTATATATGTAATAGTAAATACGGGACCCCGCGCAAACAATATGCACGACCCTAGGGTAGCATGACTAGCAGTCCTCATCTTAATTTGATTCTAGTTGACCGCTCCAGGAAGCTCTATTGTTCCGTTGGGGGTAAGAGTTGGTCATGTATGTGCGAAAGGATTGAAAATGAAATGAAAAATGGGGTAAGACATCAAATCTCCAGGGACTTTAGTACAGGGACAGTTCAGGCGGGATAATCAAAACGTCAGATTTCATACCGGTTCATTGGACACCTCAGTGGCGCACGTATACCGAAGGCGTGCACATCTTGACGAGGAAAATATGACTGGTAAAAACGTGAAGTATGCCTGATGTCGAATTAAGTAATTGCATCGCGTGCGTAGTTTGATAGATGCAGCATTGCGCACAAAAAACGCTAGCTGCAAAGAAGACATTTTAACGGCAGGAGACAAGTATTCATATATTGAAATTGTTGCGCGCAGTCGTCAGCTTTATTCGAGGCAAGTAAACATGCGTCATCTTGGGGCGTCACATGAGTGGCGTTTTCCATGTGAAGTACATCTAAAAATGGCGCTTTAGTCTTTGCCTTGAACACCTTGACCTAATTATTGGTGCTGATCACCTGTGAATTCAAATTTAACCGTCTGTGTTTCGATCAGCTGTCCGCACGTGCTGGTTGTGGGGTGTTTCTATAATACCATATTGAAGGATATTCACCCTCATTTAGCGATGCTCACTACTGACCACGAAGCATTTTTGATGTTAGCTTCCTATTGCTGAAAACCCATCCCACAGTGACCACCATTCTGGTGTATGATGGCGCAAACGATTTTTAACTCGAACTTATTTGTTATTTGAACTTGTTTGAACTTATTAACCCGAACTTATGATGTCTGCATGATACTGACAATCGAGCAGTCAAGATCGGCGTCCAGAATTGCCCGCTGCTGGTGTCAATTTCGATAATTATAATTCCGGACATAGCGTGGCTATAGTTCCATTTCATATTTCGCCTGGTTTCGATGTTTTTTAGCAGCCCAAAATGCAGGCAAACCTTACCGGGCTCAACTTTGGCAATCAGCGACTAATGCTCGGCGCGGCACCTCCACCCGGCTCCACTGCGTCGTAGAGCAGACACTGATTTGTCACTAAATTGGTAATCTGGCCGGCCAGTCTCACGCGCGTGGTCTTCGTAATGGTGTCGACTGTATGCGCGCGGCCGGCACTGGGCGGGTCAACGCTGCCTGCCAATAAGGGCGATTATTCATATCCTGGCGGCCGCTCTAGGAACTAGTTTGGAAGCTTTGGTCTTTAGACATTCTGTACCTTGGACAATGTATACATTTAGCATTCTGTGCTTTGGACATTCTGGATATCGGGCATAATGATACGGACCCCTTCCATTCCGCACCATGTTGGAAGCTATTTTCCATTTTGGACATTGTGTGATTTGGGCATTATGAACTTTGGACATTCTGTACCTTGGACATTCAGCTGCCGCGCTTTTGTGTGCCGCCCCAGCTAACGCGGCGCGCCGCCGGGCAGTGCGGTTCGAGTCCGAGACGCTGCAGCCCGACTGGGACCACTTCTACGGGCTGCTGCACGAGATCGTGCAGCGCGTGCCGGCCGTGGGCGAGGCCGTGCTGGACCAGCTCATCTCGTCGCCGGAGACCTACTCGCCCGACGGCCAGTGGATCATGGGCGAGTCGCCCGAGGTAGGCCCGTCCGGGCCCTGGACCAGCGTGAAGTCGCTCGCTCGGCTTGTCAGGCGGCGTTGGAGCGGCCGGAAGCCACTTGGCCTGTCAGGCGGTGTTGGAGCGATTGTGGCTGTCGCTGAGCCGGTGCAGCGCCGCAAATTGCGGTGTAATAGCGACGCGTTGACACTGTTTCTTTGATGGGTTTTTGCTGACGCTTGTTGACCAGTGAGAACGCTCCATTTCTGGCCAACCAGCGAAAGATGGACGGCGCTTGTCTGGATCAGCTCTGGGCGCGACCAAAGCGCTGCCGAGACACTCCAGTGGCCACCTTGCGCAGCGACGACAGTCCGCCGAAGTCGCCTCAACAATTGCGCCCAAAGCTGCACAGTCCGTCGCTCGCCGCGCCGGCCCGTCCGCTGACCCCGCCCGCGCCCGCTCGCCGCAGGTGGAGAATTACTTCGTGACCGCTGGCCTGGGCGCCAGCGGCACGGCGGCGGCTGGCGGCGTGGGGCGCATCATGGCCCACTGGATGGTTCACGGAGAGCCGCACCTGGACGTGTTTGAAATGGACGTGCGTCGCTTCCTGGCGCTACACAACAACCGCACGTTCCTGCGCACGCGCATCCACGAGGTGCCAGGTGAGCCGGGCTGAGGCGCGCGGCGCCGGCTGTGGCGGGGAAGGGCGGTACCCCGCAGCGTCCGGTGCCCTGTGGTGGCCTGGGCTGTCACTGCTACCGAGATTGACTGTCGGTGCTCCCTGGCATCAGACGTCAGACTTGTGGGCTCGGCGGGCGTGGGTGCAGGTGGACTGCGTGGTTGTTACTTATGAAATTATGTCGTCGGTGCGCTCTTGGCCACAGCGTCGTGGCGTTCTGGGAGAATAATGCTACTTACGGGCGGTCATACACGCGTGTTCGTCTAATCCGTTGACATCACATGACACGGCCGTCTGGCAACACTTGGCACGGCTGTCTGACAGCACGTGACAACACCGTCTGACAACACATGACGCCGCCGTCTGACACCTCGCACGGCGCGAACACCGGGACGTGCACTTTCCGTCATCCGATGCTGTCTTCAGACGTCTTAACAGCTGCCCATAACTACCAGTCAGGTGACGGTGCCGTGCTTTCAGACTGATCCGACGTTGACCAACTGACGGGCGCAGCTGACGTGGGGTAGGTGTCTGACAGCTGACCTTGATGTCTTGTGTAGTGGGGCTGGCTTAGATCACCTACCTGTCGCAGCTGACTCTGATGTCCCAGCTGACCTGGATGTTCCAGCTGACCCCGGACATCCCAGCTAACGTCCCAGCTGACGCCCCAGCTGATCCTGGACATCCCAGCTGACGCTTGAGCTGACCCCGGATATCCCAGCTGACGTCTCAGCTGACCCCGGACATCCCAGCTGACTCAGACGTCCCACCTGACCCGGATGTCCAGCTAACGTTCCAGCGGACGTCCCAGCGGACCCGGATGTCCCAGCTGACCGGGACGTCCCAGCTGACGTCTTAGCTGACCCCGGACATCCCAGCTGACTCAGACGTCCCACCTGACCCGGATGTCCCAGCTGACGTTCCTGCGGACGTCTCAGCGGACCCGGATGTCCCAGCTGACGTCCCAGTTGACCGGGACATCCCAGCTAACGTCCCACCTGACGCCCCAGCTGACCCCGGACATCCCAGCTGACGTCTCAGCTGACTCAGACGTCCCACCTGACCCAGATGTCCTAGCTGACGTTCCAGCGGACGTCCCAGCGGGCCCGGATGTCTCAGCGGACGTCCCAGCTGACGTCCCAGCGGACGTTCCAGCGGACGTCCCAGCGGACGCAGCTGACGGTCTCCTGCGCCGTGGCTGACCGGCGGGCCTCGCTCTCCGCCCGGCAGGCCAGTGTATGCGGATTCCGTGGACGTTCCCGGAGTACCGGTCCGGCCGGCGGCTGCGCACGTCGCCCATCTTCCCGCGCATGAAGGACGCCGGCGCTCGGTTCGGCGCCGTCATGGGCTACGAGCGCCCGGCCTACTTCGAGTCGTCGGCCGACGCAGGTCTGTTGGTCGTCAGTGCCGCCGGTGGCCGCGGGAGGCCGCTGTCGGCGGAGGCCTGGCTGCGGAGGCGCAGCATCACCGGACGGTCGACGCGACTGCTTGTGTTTGCTGATTGTCGATTTGGTAGTGGGATGGCGGATGTGAGATTAAAGGTTACCGAAATGGCAGGTCTTACTCCAGCTTGATATGAGCTAGAGAGGGGGGGGGGGGGGGAGGGGAGGATGCTCGTTGAGCGCACCATTCCTGTTCTGGTCCGGGGGTCGCTGTCCTGAAGTAGGCTTCAGATTATGCCCGTTTGAACAATGTCTGCACAAAGTCAGGTTTTTTAAAACTTTTGATAGGTTAGGACATTTTTCATTGCGGAGATGCACTACATTTGGAATGTGCAGGACTGGAAAAAATGTCGGGTGAGATTGATTCTCTGTGAAAACTGGAATCCATTGTTAACTCGTCAAGCATAATTGACTTGTACATGCCATTCTTAGACTTTATATCGAGACAACGACGTCATTTTACGTATGGAAAGTTAGTGAAGACTCATTCATTATGGATCTGGGGTAATCGGACGTGTGCCCCACCGCCGCTGGGGCTGGTGGATGGTGTGGGCCGGTCCGGCTGACCGCTACCGCTGTCTCCGCTGTCTCTGCAGGGCCCGACCGGCGGCGCGGGGAGTTCGCCATCGCCGTCACTGACTCGTTCAGCAAGCCTCGCTGGTTCGACAACGTCGAGGAGGAGTACAACGCGTGCCGCGAGCGCGTGGCCGTCTCCGACTACTCGTCCTTCACCAAGATCGACCTCATGGTGAGCCGCCGCCGCCACCGCCGCGCCGCATCCGGCTGGCCCTGGTCTCGGCCGCCGGCCGCCACACCTGGCTGCTTCCGTCTCGGTTGCAGCAGATCGGTGGTGGTCGGTATCTGTGGGACCAGTATGTTTCTGTGTGCAGGATGGTCCCGCTAAAGGTCAAACCACGTTTTTCTCAACAGACACCAGCGTGTCGTCGCACAGTCAAGATTGGTGATAGTTGAATGTTCCTTATTGCAAAACATGACCACCAACAATAGAAGTTACCAGTAATGTCGCACCCTGAAAATCGTGACTACAGACGCTGCTTGAGATGGCCCCTGGGCCGTCCAGGGTGCACGGCAGCCGCATTTGCCACAGGTGGTCGACCGTACGGTCTGTTTTGGTGACAGTGGCACATCCCATCTCGAGTCTGATGGAGGTCTAGAGCCCTTGAAGGTTGGCTGTGCTGTCCACGTCGACGCGGTCCTTGAGGTTATCCCACAGATGGAATGCCACTAGCGACGGGTTAGGCGAGTGGGGGATCCCCGGCACAGCAGCCTTCGGGCTGATTTGCCTTCCACGGAAACACTTCCAGCTTCCGTCATGGAAATACAGACTGACTCCGGCCGGGCGGGACGGCATTACACACATCACGGACTTCACTGGCCAGCCCATTGGAGTAGTGTTTCCCTGGGAGGCACAGCAGCCTGTGGACTGCCGCACTGTGGGCTCCGCAGTCGCCTGACACGTCGCCCCTGGGCTTGATGCTGTTGGCGGACCTGGGGTGGGACGCGTATCATTAAAAAGATTAACCAGGCGGTCGACCACCATCAGCAGGCTTGGCTGTCACGCACTCTGGACGGCCAGGGGCCATCTGAAGCATCTTCTGAAAGGTCGCGATTCGACGGGTGTGAGATTACTGACGACTTTTGGTGGCCGTGTTTTGCCAGTGAATGGGGATTCAAAGGCCACCACAGTGTGGACTGTGCGGTAAATGCACTTGCCGCTCTTGAGAAAATGTGAGTTAAGGTCTAGTGTGACCATTCTGTATTATGTACCGACGCCGGCATGTCTCTATCCGTCCACTGCTTTCGTATGAGCTCGGGGGTGGAGCCGCGCCGAAACCCGCACCGCGTGCTGATTTATACCGCCCGACCTGGCCGTCCGCAGAGCAAAGGGGACGAGGTGGTGCACCTGCTGCAGTACCTCTGCAGCAATGACGTGAACGTGCCGGTGGGCAACATCCTGCACACGGGCATGCAGAACCAGCACGGTGGTTACGAAAACGACTGTAGCCTGGCGCGCATTGCCCACAACCAGTGAGTGGTCCCGCCGACCGACCGACGCATCCCGCCGTTACCCCCCATCCCGCCGTCACAGGCGCACCCCCAGGCCATAGCGCACCGGTAACTGAACGCTCGCACCCGCTGCTTCCCGCACCGGTGCTCGGCGATGTGGAGTGGACATGTGTGATTGGGTGTATGTAAATATTAAGCATTGCAACAGCGGGTATCGCGCATGTATGTGATAAAATGCTGCATTTGTAGTCAATTGGGGATTCTGGTCCACACAACTGGACTTCTGATTCATACAGCAAGGAATAATAAATATGTTAGCAACAGCATGAGCACCACATAATACACCATCCGTCCGTCTGAACGTGCCGTCTCAGCCAGCCGCCGCCCGTCCCCAGCTGCGCTGTCCGTCCGTTTGGACGTGCCGTCTCAGCCGGTCGCCGCCTGTCCCCAGCTGCGCTGTCCGTTCGCCCTGGCGTGTCTCTGAGCCGGCCGCCGCCCGTCCCCAGCTGCTCTGTCCGTCCGCCCTGACGTGGCTCTGAGCCGGCCGTCGCCCGTCCCCAGCTGCGCTGTCCGTCCGCCCTGGCGTGTCTCTGAGCCGGCCGCCGCCCGTCCCCAGCTGCGCTGTCCGTCCGCCCCGGTGTGTCTCTGAGCCGGCCGCCGCCCGTCCCCAGCTGCGCTGTCCGTCCGCCCTGACGTGTCTCTGAGCGGGCCGCCGCCCGTCCCCAGCTGCGCTGTCCGTCTGAACGTGCCGTCTCAGCCGGCCGTCGCCCGTCCCCAGCTGCGCTGTCCGTCCGCCCTGACGAGGCTCTGAGCCGGCCGCCGCCCGTCCCCAGCTGCGCTGTCTGTCTGAACGTGCCGTCTCAGCCAGCCGTCGCCCGTCCCCAGCTGCGCTGTCCGTCCGCCCTGACGTGGCTCTGAGCCGGCCGTCGCCCGTCCCCAGCTGCGCTGTCCGTCCGCCCTGGCGTGTCTCTGAGCCAGCCGCCGCCCGTCCCCAGCTACATGATGATCTGCCCGACGATCCAGCACGGCCGGAGCCGCTCGTGGCTGCAGCGGCACGCGCCGGCCGACGGCAGTGTGGTCATCTCGGACATCACCTCTCTGTACACGGCGCTCTGCGTCATGGGCCCGCTGGCGCGCGAGCTGCTCTCGGAGATCACCGACCACGACCTCAGCCCAAAGAGCTTCCCCTTCTTCACGTTCAAGGCGAGTGAAGCCGGTGGACGGCGGACCTGCCGGCGGCGCAGCCGGGCCGCCGCGCGTGGTCGTATCCTCCACACGTGGATCAGGCACGGAACTGAGCCCTGAGAGTGGATCCCGTCGAAATTCAGAAAAGTCTGCTGTGGTCATTCACGGAGCCCCGATGAGTATTGTGGTGTGATTTGTTTCGCCGCTGTCGCCGCCTTCGTCATTAGTACTTCACGACGTGCTCAGCTGCTGTGGCTATGCGGCGTCGCATGTCCACGACGTGCTCAGCTGCTGTGGCTATGCGGCGTCGCATGTCTCTCACCCTGGCAGGGAGGGCGGGTACCGCGGGAAATCGAACCTCGTACCTCTGCTTGACTTGGTTCGTCGGTGTCGTGTATGGCTCCCGCAAATGACACCAGTGCCATATTCTAGCCTTCAGTTATATGACGGGGGAAGCCCTGAGTGCAGAGCGGACTAGCGCGGAGTGCTGCCGTTCCTAGGAACCGCTGCCGTTCCTGGCCCCATTCGTGGCCACCGCCTTCAAACCCCGACCTGGTGTCGATGGCATGGCTGTGCGTTGTTCTCTGAGCCTGCCTGGCTGGGCCCGTCGCACTTTGCCTGGCTTACGTCCGTCGCTAGGATCAGGCGGGTCGCGTCTGCGTCCGAGATCAGGTGGCTCGTGTTTCTCTAGGATCAGTTGGATCACGTCCGCCTCTTGGATCAGGTGTCTTATACATGCCCCTGTGATCAGTCGGCTTAGGCGTGTTGCCGGGGTCAGGTGGCCGAGATCTGCCACTGGAATTAGTCGGTGCACGTCTGCCACTGCGATCAGATGATTGACATCTGCTGCTGGGATCAAATGGCAAACAGCTGCTGCTGGGATCAGATGGTTCATGTATGTTATTGCGATCCAGGTGGGTCACGTCTGCTGCCGAAGTTCTTTGACTGGCATCTGTTTCTGGGATCGGACGATTCACATCTGCCGCTGGGATCAGACGGATCACATCTGCCACTGGGATCAGACGGTTCAGCCGCCCGCTAGAATCAGTGTGATCAGACGGGTCACGCCTGCCGTTGGGATCAGACGGATCACATCTGCCACTGGGATCAGATGGTCCATGTCCTCTGAGATTAGTGGGGTCGGACGGCTCACGTCTTCGCCTCGGTGCCCGCAGGAGATCGACGTCGGAATGATCGCGGACGTGCGTGCCATGAACATGACGCACACTGGCGAGCTCGGATGGGTCCTCTACATCCCCAACGAGGTGGGCCGCCGCCGCGTCTTCAGCGAGTGCTGTACCCTGCCGGTGTCTGTCGACAGAACGCGCCACACACCGTCAGTATGGTCATGTCGACAGAACGCGCCACACACCGTCAGTATGGTCATGTCGACAGAACGCGCCACACACCGTCAGTATGGCCATGTCGGCAGAACGCGCCACACACCGTCAGTATGGTCATGTCGGCAGCATACGCCACAGCCACACACAGTCAGTATGGTCATGTCGGCAGCACACGCCACAGCCACACACCGTCAGTATGGTCATGTCGACAGAACGCGCCACACACCGTCAGTATGGTCATGTCGGCAGCACACGCCACAGCCACACACCGTCAGTATGGTCATGTCGACAGAACGCGCCACACACCGTCAGTATGGTCATGTCGGCAGCACACGCCACAGCCACACACCGTCAGTATGGTCATGTCGACAGAACGCGCCACACACCGTCAGTATGGTCATGTCGGCAGCACACGCCACAGCCACACACAGTCAGTATGGTCATGTCGACAGAACGCGCCACACACCGTCAGTATGGTCATGTCGGCAGCATACGCCACAGCCACACACCGTCAGTATGGTCATGTCGACAGAACGCGCCACACACCGTCAGTATGGTCATGTCGGCAGCATACGCCACAGCCACACACCGTCAGTATGGTCATGTCGACAGAACGCGCCACACACCGTCAGTATGGTCATGTCGGCAGCATACGCCACAGCCACACACCGTCAGTATGGTCATGTCGACAGAACGCGCCACACACCGTCAGTATGGTCATGTCGACAGAACGCGCCACACACCGTCAGTATGGTCATGTCGGCAGCATACGCCACAGCCACACACCGTCAGTATGGTCATGTCGGCAGCATACGCCACAGCCACACACCGTCAGTATGGTCATGTCGGCAGTGTACGCCACACACCGTCAATATGTTTATGACGGCAGTATACGCCACACGCCGTCAGTATGGTCATGTCGGCAGTATACGCCACACTTCGTCAGTATGGTCATGTCGGCAGTATACGCCACACTTCGTCAGTATGGTCATGTCGGCAGTATACGCCGCACCTCGTCAGTATGGTCATGTCGGCAGTATACGCCACACGCTGTCAGTATGGTCATGTCGGCAGCATACGCCACACGCCGTCAATTTGTTTATGTCGGCAGTATACGCCACACATCGTCAGTGTGGCCGTGCCGACACCACGCGCTGTAAATCAAACACTGTATCTGTCTGTATTTGCAGTACGCGCTGTGCTCTGGTCACCACGTGTGCTCTCCGTTCGTGTGCCGTATGTGTGTCCAGTGCAGGCTGGGCACGGGCCGTGTCTGTGTCGGCAGTACGCGCTGTACGTGTACGATCTGCTGATGGAGCGCGGCCAGGACTACGGCCTGGCGCTGGCCGGCTACCTGGCCATGCGGTCGCTGCGCGTCGAGAAGTTCTACGCCTTCTGGGGACAGGACCTGGGCACCACCACTACGCCGCTCGAGTGCGGCCGAGCCTTCCGAGTCAAGTTCAACGTGAGTGTCGGCCGCGCCGCGGGTGGGGGAGGGGCTCGGCTTGCCCACGCTGATGGGCGCTGTGGGGTGGGGCTTGATGGGGTGGGTCTGCTCTAAACGTCTCTCAGCGCAGCCGTGAAGAGCTGCATCGAGCGCTTCTCCCGTCAATGGTCGGCGTGGTGTCAAGCGCTCGGGGTCGAAGTGACTTACTTCATACCGAGCAGCGTTTATTCGGCGCTTGTTGCGTTGCTCTCGTCATGTAGGCGAGTGACCCCGCAGTCGGGCTGGGCCGTACTGAGCGGCGGCGTGTTGCCTTGGTCCGCTGTTCATCCACCGCCACCCGGCTGTCAGGTGCCGCCACCTACCGCGTCTGCCCTCTGACCCCCTACCCTTCTGGCACTCCCGTACGTGATGTGGTCGCATGGCGGCGGGCGACCGGCGCTGCCCGCCGCCGCCAGGCAGCCGCCGAAGTGTGTGACGCGGCTCACCGCCGCCGGCAGCGGGACGTGAACTTCATCGGTCGGGAGGCGCTGCTGCGCCAGCGGGCCGAGGGCGTGCGCCGGCTGTACGTGCACTTCACGGTGCAGGACCACGACCCCGAGACGGACCCGTGGGCCTGGGGCCACGAGCCCATCCTGCGCGACGGCGAGTACGCCGGCCTCGTCACCACCTCCGCGTTCGGCTACAGCCTCGGCAAGCTGGTCAGTGGGGCGACGCTGCGCTGGAGCCGAGGACGGCCGCCTGCGCCGGCCAGCGGTGGCGTGATGGCGATCCGCCACGACGCGGCCAGATGTCGGGATGTCGTACTGGGTTCATGTGTGGCCTCTGACATTAATGCAGCCGGCTGCACGTATCCTTGATTACACTGGAGCTAAACGCATAAGAAAGTATTGCAATATTACCACTATCTATTGTTTTAAACGAGGACGGGCCATTGCAAAACTTGGAGGCAACTCTGTGAATGCCGCTGCCCGTTACGCTGTCTTTGATAAACAAGTTCTTCCGCCCTACCCTGAGGTCGGGATTCGGGAGCGATTGACGTCATCGGGGACGCAGATGTTTTGAGCGGACAGCCTCATTCAAGGGACTTGTCCATGAGCAGTTGGTCGCACATGATGCCCCTGTGAGAGAGAGACACTGTTCGTGAAGACCGGAACTACAAAACGAAACATCTACCGCCTGAAAAGCCAAGCCTCCCAGCACCAGTCGACAGAAGTAGGCTCCCCGCCCCCCTCCCGCTCTGTGTAACTATGTTTTTGTGTGGAGTGCGCTCTCCGCACTCCACCTGTGAATAATTCAGTCAGCGGCGTGTTGCCATGTTGCGGCACGCGGCAACACGAGCATACGTTTGCACCTAAGTGCATGGTGAAGCAGCAGTCGTTTTGGCTTCTCTGGAAGGGACCCTGAGAGTTTCATTTTGTGACCAGTGCACGTACACGCCGATGTGTGCCGTGTTATTTCTCTGTATGTCTGTGAAGAGCGGCATTTTGCCATCACGCTGGAGACAGATGACGTTGTTCACGGGACAAACACGACAGGCTTGACAAGCGCCGCAGCGGATGCCACGTGACGAACATATCACACCAACAAATCACGTATGCAGAAGAATTTTCGCCATTCGACTGTACGGAGACAGACTATTCCGCGCGTCTCGAATGTTCTATATCATCGATAATTGCTCCGAGGCAGCGCGATGTCGTCGTAATCTGTCATAGCTAGAGTATGCAGAACACGCCAAACTCATAATTTTTTAGCCGAAAATCCAAATATTGAAACATCGTTGTAAACTTGATTGTTGCATGCCTCCCAGATACGGCTATTGCTCCCGAGTTGCGCTCGCGTTCATCACGAGGACCTCACAATACAGTTCCAGACATGCAAAGACGTGAGATGTGGTCATCCACGTACATCAGTGGGAAGATGAGCCGAAGCACGGCGTTTGTATTTGCTGTGTTGTATGTGCGGCTTAGTGTTAGATTGCTGTCTTTTGGTGCCAGTACATCACTGCCTTATTTCATCGGGTTTATAAATATCATAGTTCTTTTGTAATCTTGTAATCTAATCCTTCTCCCTCTCAAAACAGCTTGCCGTGCACGGTGGGTCGCTCCCAAGTCTGGCAGAGCGGGATTGCGGTCAAGTTTGTACATAGTTTTCCAAGGTGGTATGCAGCCCCCGGCCGTTGGCTCGGCGCTGAGCCAGCCCTGTCTGTCATCAGCTCCTCAGTTTTGTATGTGAGGCGGTTCCAGTGTGGCAATATTCCCTCATTCGAGCGGCCGGGATGCTGATATTTTTCATATGATCGCACCGCCGGCTCGGGTTCAGTGCCCGTCCCGCCCCTCCCCCCCCCCCCGCCGTCCTTAATCAGCACTGAGTCGCACGCCAGTCAGCCCGGCGTCTTGGCACTGCAGGGTTGGCGAATTGGCCGAGCACGTCAGAATGTTGGGCGCAGGGTGAAAAGGCGCCGGCTTAGCAACTAACGAGATAGCTTGCGTGCGAAGGCCGCCGGAGAGCCAGGAGGCGGTAACATCAATCTGTATTTACATCCTTCACACCCAACTGACCGAATTTGCGACGCAAAGAGGGTCAAATGTGCCACTAGGCCATCCAGTTTCTAGCTGAGGGGTTGCACAGGACATCAGGTGGTGGATCACCGCCTTATGACAGCCCGGCGGTGCTGGTGCGGGTCCGCGCCCCAGCAGCCGCGGCTGGACGACGCGTCATTGACGGTCAGCTGGCAGTCGGGCGAGAGTGCCAGGCGGCACAGGACGGCCGCTCAATTACACCACATGAGTGCCAGGCGGCACAGGGTGGCCGGCCAATTACACCACATGACACGTTAAAGTCACCCAGCCGAACTTGATCTGGAATGCCCAAATGGGGAGGCGGAGTCAGTGCGCGATCAGCTGTGTTCAGCAAGGACGCTGGCCGTAAAGCCAACCCTACGAAGTGCTCCATCAAATTTCAAAAAGCGTGTTTGGCTTAACAGCGCACCTCGAGCCTGTTTCCTAGCTAATCGAGTGAAACCACATCTGTGGTTACGTCACAGTCGAACCTGTGGTGTTCAGGTGTAGTCGGTAATGCTTTGCAATGCGGAGGTGATGTCGTAAACAAAGGAATGTCTGCCGTCGCGCCGCTGCGTACCTCGTCGCGTTGCGCTTCTTGAGGCGTGCTGTCGGGGCGTTGTCAGCGATCTCCGTGTGCGATAAGGACGGGCGCTGACGGGGAGGGGAAGTTCCCCTGCGCAGATTCAAATACCAGTCATTTATAATGCGGATGCGCAGTGCGTCTTGATCGCTCTGCCGGGGCCCCAGGTCAGTGCGCTGGGCTGCGTGCCGCGGTCCGTACTTGAGATGTTGGACTCGGGACGCTCATTTAAAGGATGCCGTCGCGGATAAGCCGGAACTGTGGCGGCGACACCAGGTCCGCGACGAAAAGACACGCGGTGCAAAACAGCATCGACCGGGAGTGTTCCGTATCCCTCCAATGGTCGCCGTCCAACCGCGTGAAGGCAAGGCTAGATTAGACAAATGGCAACTTGTAGTGACTGGGCAGTGATTTTTTTGTATGACATAAGTCGGTTATAATGGTATTTGGTAAGTACCTGAGTAGTTACCAGGCCTTAAGACGCGAAAGAGGTCAAGTGCGCTCCCTTTGTCATATATGTAGAAACAGGAAAAGGGCCATGGTTCATGGCCCCCACCTTATGATGTGTTTGATGTTAGCCATATGGCAATGAAAATGACAGATTTGATAAGATATTACGGCAATGTAATGAAATGTTAAAATAATAATCTGGCAAATGTGCTTCGATTACCCGAAGCAGACATACTACATTTTCAACATATTATAAAATTATGCATCTTATATGAATGTTTAGTCACAGTTAAGTCAATGTGAAGTCACATTTGAGGTGGTTAAAGAATAAACCACAAAACGCCTTTCCTGACCAATAATATTTTAAATGTCCACGTTAATGATTTGTGTTGGAAGGGTTTGTTTTGAATAGCAATACGTGTTATCTTTCTAAAGGCAGACTTGAAGCTTCGAAAACCAGTTCACATGAAGTGATGAGTTGAAAAGAACCTCTTTGTTCCCTTAGCCCCGTAAACCCCTCAGAATTTGCAAGGTGGAATGTATTAGTATGCTTTCTTAGTTTTGTTTATCTGGTGCATCTTGGTGCAAAGTCATCATGACCATATCAAGGTAGGACCTATCCAAGTTTTTACAGACATAGTCCCAAATTTTGATCGGGTGAATTTTTAGAATCGCTGAGCAGCACTTGCTGGCTGAGCCCTGACACCGCCATCCGATCGTGACATCCCGGGTCAGCGGCAGAGTTTTGTGGCGAACGCTCAGTGTGCCACGATGTTAGGCACGGCCCGTCCTAGCATCTGACGTCACCTGACCCCCATCATGGGACACCACTGTTTGAGAGTGAGACGATTGTAATCGCATGGACGTTACCCACGCCCCCAAGAGCTATCCTATCGATAAGGAAGATCAGGATACAAACGTAACGCAAGTCAATACAAACCTCCTGGTCAGGACGGAGGACTTTTCGCAGCATCACCTGCAGCACTGACGAGTGTCGTGACTAGCCCGGTGTCGTGTTTAGCCCGCGGAGTGACGTCTGCTGAAGGGCCGCTCTTTGGCGGCAGGTGTGCCTGGGCTTCGTGCAGGACCTCTCAGCCGGCCAGGCTGCCGTCGTCAACAGCGACTACGTGCTGCGCGGACACTACCAGATCAACATCGGCGGTCGCCTGTTCCCGGCCAAGCCGTCGCTCGTGTCGCCGTCGCTGCCCACCAAGTACCAGGAGCCGACGCAGAAGCGCTACCAGGCCACGCAGCACACGTGGGGCGGCCGCGGCTAGCCGACAGACAGCACCGACCGCCTCTCCGCCGACCGGTGGCCGCGTTCGCGTTACCCCGACGGCAGCGCGCGGGTGATAAGACTGTCACCGGTTGGCTGGGTCCGTGGTCGACGGCTTGCGAAGCGGACCAGCATGGATGGGTCGCTCGACACCGGCGCCATTGACCGCTAAACCGGACCGGCCCGGCACGACCGAGCCGCTCCGGCTCACCGCCGCGGCACGGTCGGTGTCGGCCGACGGGGCGCCTGCTCTGACCCGACGGAGCCGCCCGTACCTCAACCACGAGTGCCGGTAGCCCGGGTCAGCGGCGGGCACTGCAGGATCACACAGCCTGCGCGACCCGGAGCCGACGGCGGGACGCCGGCGTCTGGCTCGCTGCACACACGGCCGCCGTGCCTCCTGGTGACACTGGTGCCCGCCGAACTGTCCGCGCCGGCTGGCGCTGTCCTCACTGACTGGCGCTGTCCGCACTGACTGGCGCTGTCCTTACTGACTGGCGCTCTCCGTACTGAGTGGCGCTGTCCTTACTGACTGGCGCTGTCCTTACTGACTGGCGCTCTCCGTACTGAGTGGCGCTGTCCTTACTGACTGGCGCTCTCCGTACTGAGTGGAGCCGTCCTCACTGACTGGCGCTGTCCTTACTGACTGGCGCTGTCCTTACTGACTGGCGCTGTCCTTACTGACTGGCGCTCTCCGTACTGAGTGGCGCTGTCCTTACTGACTGGCGCTGTCCTTACTGACTGGCGCTGTCCTTACTGACTGGCGCTCTCCGTACTGAGTGGCGCTGTCCTTACTGACTGGCGCTGTCCGTACTGAGTGGAGCTGTCCTTACTGACTGGCGCTGTCCTTACTGACTGGCGCTGTCCTTACTGACTGGCGCTGTCCTTACTGACTGGCGCTGTCCTTACTGACTGGCGCTCTCCGTACTGAGTGGAGCTGTCCTTACTGACTGGTGCTGTCCTTACTGACTGGTGCTGTCCTTACTGACTGGCGCTGTCCTTACTGACTGGCGCTGTCCTTACTGACTGGCGCTCTCCGTACTGAGTGGAGCTGTCCTTACTGACTGGCGCTGTCCTTACTGACTGGCGCTGTCCTTACTGACTGGCGCTCTCCGTACTGAGTGGCGCTGTCCTTACTGACTGGCGCTGTCCTTGCTGACTGGCGCTGTCCGTACCGACTGGCGCTGTCCTTACTGACTGGCGCTGTCCGTATTGACTGGCGTTGTCCATACCAACTGGCGTTGTCCCCACTGACTGGCGCTGTTCGTACTGACAAGCGAGGTACTGTTGGCGCCGGCCATTGCTGCACTTTCCGCACCGACTGAGGTGCTGCGCTCTCGGCCGCGGCCGTCAGCGCCCCGCCCCAGCCGCTCAGATCGGCACGCTGTCGATCGCCGTCGGCTTACCGGAACGGCGGCGCCGGCGCCACCGCTCGTACGGCGGCGCCTGTCGGGCCCGGTTACACGCCCGGCTGACCGAACGTCGGCGGTTCAACTGCCGACCGTCAGCACAGGGCCCGTGGCCGGCGGCGCACCCTCTGTCGCCCCAGAGGTGACTGGCCGGGGCCGGATGCGTGGCCACGCACTCGGGTGGCTTGCGAAGTCGTGTTCCTGGAGTGTTCCGAGCTGTTGTGTCGCAATAAACGTCTTGTGTCTGCAGATGGGGAACGCGTGTGGGCACCGAGGCGAGTCTTGTTGCAGCCCTTAGTTTGCCGAGAGCATGCCACAAACTGGCTTGCTATACAGGTATCAATTATGCTGATACGTTTACAGCGTCATCCCCAGGAAGGCGGTCGTTCGTGCAAACTCCCTGTCATCGGCAGGAAAGGGCGGCTCGCGTGGGCCACTCCAGGGCGGCTCGCGCGCTACTCCGGGGCGACTCGCGCGGGCCACCGCAGGGCAGCGTCGTGCAAAGCCGACCAAGATATGGTCCACACTCAGTTGTTGAGACGCATGCGACATTTGCTGGATAAATGTCGCCAGCTGCCTGCTGCTACGGTCCGCTAACGTCAGTGACGATCGCTTAAACATGCCATAGTGTTATTTGACTCGAGTTAGTCGCGAAGTGCGTCGCCGCACTACGAGCCACGTCGACCTCAGGAGTTCGGCCAGTTACGAGTGCTTGAGACGCCTCTACAGTGACAGGGCTCCTCCGTGGTCGTACATAGCGAGCCGTCGCCATTGGGGCCTTACGGCACACTCAGCTGCTGAGGCCATGTGGCGTCGCTTGCCTCTCACCCAGACAGGAAGGGTGGGTCTTGTGGGGAATCGAAACCTCTACCTCCGGTTTTCCAGACGTACACCTGAGCCATCGCATGACACTTGCAACCGTACCGTAAGAGCCATGACAAAATTTGATCAGTCCATTGAGTCCTCAGCATGTTTCAGCATTTCACTACTAGCAATCAACCGTTTGCATGACTGCCAAGTATCAATGACTGTTTGATCGGGGGTCCGAGCCGCAGCATTAGCACGGCCATCCGACCAGAGGTCATCCGATCTCCCTCGAGGCGCCGGGCCAGCTGCTGTCAACCGGCCGACCAGCTGCGTCCGCCCGGCGCTGGGTAGCGGTACGCTGCCGGCTCGACAGCTTTACAGTCGCGCTTCGCCAGCTCTTGGCCAGAGAAGCACATCAACTACGACTGCCTGAAACGCTCGATGCTCTGCTACGGTGCGCCATTTGGTAAGCAAAATCGTAGGCAGAAATAGCGTAAGGCGTGGTGTGACTGTGCGGGGTGTGTGCCCTCGCCCTCGCTGTCTTTCGAGCTCTACATCTGACTGGGTGCCGGGGGACGTCACGTGACCGCGGATGTCCCGATTCGCCGGGGGTCAAGGGTCGGCCGCTGAGGCGGCGGCGGGGACCCGACGCTCGAAGGTGCGAGTCGGTTTTTGGACGAGTTCGAGCGAATACACGCTACGTCCTCTTACAAGCTATTTCGGCCATCATGCCCGGAACCGCCGCGGCCAGCAGCGACGCTGCGACAACGGCTGCTGCGAGTGTCCCAGCGCCAGGGATGTCGACTTCTACGACCGGAGTGCACAGAGGGGCCGCGGTGACTGGTGGAGGCCCATTCGACGCGCGACTCATCCCCGAGTAGGATGGCACGGCCGACGTCGTAGAGTGGTTCGCGAGGGCGGCCGTGCTCGGCCGTCATCGTAGAGCAGACTTGTCCAGCATTCTGCCCGCGCGACTCGGGTGGCACGTTTGCCGTCTGGCTGCAGATGCCGGAGGAGGCGCGCGCATCGAGTGACGCTGTGCGTGACGCTCTCTGACGCCTTTGCGATGGATCGGTTTGCCGCGTATGACGCATATACCAGCCGACGGCTGCTGCCTGGTGAGTCGCCTGACGTGTTCCTGGCGGACTTGCGGCGTCTCGCAGCTCTGTGCGGTGGGGTTCCGGAAGACGTGCTCACGTGCGCTTTTGTCGCCGGCCTGCCCGACGAGGTGCGGAGGACTGTCCGCGCTGGCTCCCGGGCGGAGGCTTTGAGTCTGGCAAGCATCCTGGTGCGAGCCCGGGCAGTGCTGAGCGACGAACGTGCCGGTGCGGCAGCGGCAGCGGCTGGAGCGCACGAAGAACGGGGACCCAGCAGGTGTGACTGGCAAGGCGACCCGTCCGGAAGTGTTGGGCCTGCGGACAGGCGGGTCACCTGGCAGCGGCGTGCCCAAACGGGCAGGGACTGCGTTAGCGCCAGCGCAGTCCTCCGAGCAGTAGCGCGCGCTCTGCCAGTCATGACACTGCTGGTAGACCAGCGTCCCCGGCGTGCCCTGCTCGACACGGGATGTACGGACACCCCGGTTCACGTGAACCAGGGTGTCCGTACGGTCACGTACAGGGTGTCACGGTCAAGATGTGAACGGTGAACGGTGGAGTGTTGCGGTGCGTGGGTACCGCCCAGGTGACGTTCGACTACAGAGGCAAGCGAGTAATGCTCGCGGCGCTAGTGGTCCCGGATCGTCCACTTGGGTTGGACGTGCTGATCGGCATGTCCGGCATCACCGCGTTAGGAGGCATCATTGTTCGGTCCCCGATTGACATGCAGCTGGGCGCGGCAACGCAGGAGGCGCCGGAGTTGGCAAGTGGCGAGCCGGCATGCGGCGCGGCGGCGCCGGACAGCGGCACTCGAAGCTCACTGGAGTGTGGTGTGGAAGAGGGCTCATGGACGTGGTCCCGAACGTCTGCGGAACACCGTGAGTGAGTACGCTGTGCCGGCTAAAGCACGAGAGGCCTACGAGCATGAGTTGGCTGAGTGGGTGGCGAACGGATGGCTCCGGCCCTATAACGAACAAGAGGACGGGCCCGCTCGGGGCCTGATTCCCCTGATGGCACTTCAACATCCGCACAAGGGGAAGGTCAGGCTGGTGTTGGACTACCCCGAACTCAACCGGCATGTGACCGCGCACGCCGCGGATGCCGACGTGTGCGCCGAGCAGTTGCGCCGCTGGCGCCAGCATGGTGTCCGGTTGGCCGTGGTCGACCTGTGAAAAGCGTACTTGCAGCTGCGTCTGGAGCGCCGGCTGTGGCCGTATCAGACGGTGCAGGTCAAGGGCTGCACCTAAAGCCTCACGCGGCTCGGATTCGGCCTCAGTGTGGCGCCGTTGATTATGAAGGCCGTTGTTCAAGCGGTGCTGCGTGAGAACGAGGCGATCAGCCGGGGAGTGCTCGCCTATGTGGACGACCTGCTCGTCGACGAAGACGTGGTCAGCTCCGACAAGGTGGTGGAGCACTTTGCGAGGTACGGGCTGGCCTGCAAGCCGCCGGAGCGCGTCGCGGATGGAGCGAGAATGCTCGACCTTCGAGTCGAGACTCAGGATGATGAGCTGCGGCGGTGTCGAGACAATGAGGTGCCTTCACCGCCGACCGAGCTCACCCGGCGTGCAGTGTTTGCGTGGTGCGGGCAGTTGGTCGTGCACCTCCCCGTGGCGGGATGGTTGCGGCCAGCAGCCACCTGGTTAAAGAAGCGAGTGAACGGCCTGACAATCGGGTGGGACGGCCCAGTGTCGGATGATGCGTTGCGCACGCATATCCAGGAAGTCACAACGCGGGTGAGGGCAGCTGACCCTGCTCGTGGGCCGTGGCGAATGGCCGGCCGGGAGCTCGTGGTGTGGACTGCTATCGTGCTATCGCGAACGGGGTAGTCCTGGAGGATACGGAGGGCGGCATTCTCGAGGATGCCGCGTGGCTCCGGTCATAGTCAAAAGCGGCGGACCACATCAACATGGCCGAGTTGGATGCGGCGATGAGTGGCGTGAACAGGGTCCTGGCATGGGGCGTTACGCGCTTCAGCTTACGCACGGACTCGGCGACAGTGTTCAAGTGATTGAGTGACGCCTTTAACGGACGCTCTCGTCTCAGAACAAAGGCGCAGGGGGAGATACTGATCAGACGCAGGATTGGCCTCATGCGACAGTTGGTCGACGAGTCCCAGCTCTCGGTGACCGTCCAGCTGGTGCGGTCACATGACAATCCTGCCCACGCGCTCACCCGAGTTCCCCAGACCTGGCTGAGAGCAGAGCCTCGAGATGCGACTCCAGCCGCAGCAGCCGCCGTGCCAAAATGTTTCACGGCACCCCCGCGAGATGCGGCTTCGGTCTCCGAGACTATCGGGCCGGAAGAAGTCGCGGCGCCCCCGGCGGACCAAGAAGCCACTCACCAACCCACGGCAAGCGACGTTCGTGCCCGGATTAAAAGCATACACGAACGGACGGGGCACTAGGGGATCCGCCGGTCCCTGTGGTACACCAGACGGGACCTCGGCGGACATGTCGCACGGGCCGACGCGCGAGCCGTCGTCAGCCAGTGCGATGTGTGCCGCTCGATTGACCCGGCGCCAACTCGCTGGCTGTCCGGCTCACTCGGCGTCCCGACAACATGGACCCGACTCGCGGTCGACGTGACCCATTGCCAAGGCCGCCTCTACTGCACGATCGTAGACTGCGGTCCGTCCCGGTACAGCATTTGGAGCGCATTGCGACAGTCTGACGCGGCAGAAGTGACGGATTGCATCGAGTGTTCCTAGAACGCGGCACACCGGCTGAACTTCTGCTGGACAATGCCGCTGAATTTCGGAGCCGGCGAATTTAGAAAAGAAGAGCCGGCGGTCCCTATTATTGCCTTATTTCCCATCTCCCTTCATTGTCGGGGGCCCCAACAATGCAAGAGGCTCGCTGACATTCCAGGTCCCGTCACTGCCCCTTTCTAGCAAACGGGCCCGCTGCCGACACGGATTCTCTCGCTGACACGGGATACCTTGTCAGGCGCTGTGGCCCCATGGTGAGACAAAGTGGCTCTTTTTCATCTGTGCTTAGTTAGCCTCCGTGCCCACTTGTCATTGGTTCGTACCAACAGCATGTGCGCCATCGAGGTTTTCTTAAGAGGGTGGGTGCATACCTCGGCGAGAACTCATCACGCCAATTTTGATTCTTTTTTAGAGCGCTGTGGTAAAGATGAAGATCTGTGGGCAGGATGGAGCACCCCTTGACTGTTCTCCTCCAAAACAATCAAACAGCAGCGACAGCAGGGTTTGACGACTACGATCTCATCTAGGCAGGAGTCGGTTTGTTCCCTTTGTGAGTTTGCGAGGGCCCTCGTTTGTCACCCGTCTACCATATTTGGTTGCCCCTCCCCCTTCGCAAATCTTTTGACCCCCATGCTA